TAAGAAATAACTGAAGTTTCAAGAGAATGCAGTAACTGACGCTCGTTTGGGTATACAATCATGTATCAGAATCATCGGAAAAAAAAAAAATACCTAAATCCACCTCTGCCCCTAGGCGCGAAATGCCTATAGTCATCGCCCTCGTAATAGTAGTCATCGGATTCGTCCATGCCGACATCGTGATCAACGTTATGCTCTTGTTCGTTGTTGCCAGGATTTTCCTGAACGGCGATTCCTTGCTCGCCGTTCCCTTCCATCATACCTACTTACACTTTGAAACTATCAGTTACCAGTACCTCGTCTTTCCGGGCGTTAATGTACGTCGGCCTCGCGACTCCCCGCAAGTCCGCTTCGTACAAACAAATATATTCCTTTTAATGATTCACAACATCATTGATCATAAACGCCGTCGGCCCAACAACTTTAAGGCTCCGTGATAGTACTTCTGTCTTTCTCGTACTCAAGTTGAATCATGCACGTCATCGAAGTTCACTCACAACAAAACGTTTATATTACTTGGCTAGAATACACTACGGTTTAAAAACTTTTGTAAGATTTACGTTTGCATTCGCATATCCGTAAATCCATGTGCACAGGCCCACCTATCTTTCAATAAATTGTAATTTTCTCGCCTATATTGATGCCGTCTACGATATGATATATTGAATGCCTGCATGTATGCATATATATATATATATATATATATATATATATATATACATGCGTCTGTGTGTGCGTGTACGTGCGCGCGCGCCCGAGTGTACGCGTACGTGTTTACGCATGCATGAACGCATGTATGTATATATGATTGCCTACAGATAATACATATATATGCATATATATATGAATGTGTAAAGTTATATAAATATTATATATATATATATATATATATATATATATATTATTTTTTTCTTCACTCTGGCATACTTATGAATACAGGTACTATATATGAATTACGATATATATTATAATATCTATATTATGCATACATATCCATATATGCATATATTTATATATATGCATGCATGCAAGTATATTGGCGATGCCTTAGCAGCGGTTAGTTGGCGCTGGCATTACCAATCCATCATGGCGGAATCCGACTCTTTTCGAGTGTGCGCATTGCATGCTTTCTCTTTTTAACAAAATTTAACGTATCATTATGAATCAATGGAGCAATTAATATACATACAATGCACACGTCCACGCAAAGATCGACAATAATTTCCATCGTTTTTACTACTTACATTCAATATACAATACCACAATTGCAATACTGTTTAAAATTTGATCATATCTTCCTCTCTTCCTATCTATCGCGCTCCCAACCAACACACTCAGTCACTCTCTTTCTCACTGTCCCTCTCTCTCTCTCTCTCTCTCTCTCTCTCAAAATGAAACTAAAAATGTTTATTAAAACAATATTTATTCCCTCATATTTTCCAACTTACGCACGTGCGCGTAGTCATACGAACACACATTTACACACCACGCATGCGCATATGCGTTCATGTTTTTTTCTTCTATTAATAGAAGCTTTTAGATAATTAAATAAAAGGTGTAAGTATTGCATTGAAAAAGTAATATCTACATGTGTACATATATACATATAAAGACACATGCACATATGATTTTTTTATGCAAATTTAAAAAATATAGAGTAAATTGTTAAATTTGTCCTCATTTTTCAAAAGGTGCATGTAAGTATAGTTTGATAAATGTGAATTCCCGTATGCGTGTATGCACGCACAGATTTAAGGATCATTTCCAATTGTCTTAACATTCCCATTCATTGACATAGTTAGATAGAAAGAAAAAAACTATGTTTAATATATTAATATAATAATTAACAACAACAACAAAAAATAACACACACAGATAGAATAGCGTTAACCTCTTGTTCTTTTAATACTCAAATTGATTAAATATAATAACGTTGTGAGCGAGCACTATACATAATTGCAGTATCGACTTAACCAACGATATCAACCCAGATGGGCAGAACGTTCCCACCATGTACGCATGTTCCCAACGACCGATATGAAGTTTGCTCCAAGTGTCATTCGCGGCTATTCAAATCTGAATGCTGATTGAGTGGAATACGTTCCAAGAGCGGACCGTTAAATAAATTATTCAAAAAATTAAAATTAGAATAAACTAATTAGAACTGACGTATAAAAAAGGTTAAAAAAAGAGCGTTAGGTATGTCTTTCTGATCGAAGACTTTCACCTGTTTAATAAGCATAAATATGAGTATTGGAAGGTGTTTGGCATCATTTCGTTTACAATCAAATTGCAGTAAAAATGAACACAAGATAGAAAAATTAATTTAAATGAACCGAAGCCAACTGTATAACATCTCGCTTAACTATGAATTAAGTTTAAATAGTATAGAGAAAAAAAATGTTGTACTATCGTGTCAAAAAATTACAGGCTTTCTGTCAAAACAAAATAATAATAATAATAATAATAATAATAATAATAATAATAATAATAATAATAATAATAATAATAATAATAATAATAACAACAACAACAACAACAACAACAATAATAATAATAATAAGGTTTTATAATAATTTTAATTAGTGTTTTTTCGTAATGTGGACTTTTGGGTGAATACAATACCATTACCTGTCTTACTACTCTGAAATATCAAATTCTACATTATATTTTTAAAAAATAAAGTTCTTTTTTTCGATAGTCTTTTACAAAGTTTCACATCATAGGAATATAGACATATTTTATTGTTAGAAATAGGTTTAGCTTAATAGTATTATATTTCCTTAAGAGCGAAAATAAGTTAAGGCCACTAGTAACCGGTCAGTCCACATTAAGTAGCACATCAACGCTATTGTTATTTTATCCCACTCTCTTCAACAGTACAATACATAACAATTCAAAAGCTCTTTTTAAAATATCAAATGTAATAAAGCATTCTTCGTGACTTGTAACATTTTCTGATCTAATTAAGGCGATTTAGTCGTATAACTGCAACAGTATCACATTCATTTTAACATATATATATATATATATATATATATATATATATATATATATATATATATATATATATATATATATAAATGTTTATGTAAAAAACTCAACGATTAATTGAAAAGAATACCAACATATTGAAGGTGCGAGAATTCATATTAATTAAAAGATCGATAAAAACTAATAACGCATTATTAAATAAATAACAATGAATATACTCACAATGATTAAGGTCAAATCAAAAATGCATATTAACCTTGACAGAAATAATATTGAATTAGCGAAACGAAGCGAACACCCTAGAGAGAAGGATAAGGGAAGAGATATGAAAAGTATAAACGGCAGAAAGCAGGATATCGCAAAAAGCGTTTACTGTTGTATAAATGTACAAATTGAGAAGCTTAAGTGTTGGCACGCTAGGTATTGGTAATAATCTACCTATATATTCAAGTTATTAAAGCTATTAAAAAGAGAAAAAAAGAAAAAGAAAAAAAAATGATATCACAGCGTGAGTGTAAAACGCGAGATATAAATTATCGTCCAAGACGAATTAGAGATCATATGTTATAGCGGCCCTTCATACCAATGTGATTATTTATATATCGAAATTTTCCCGCTATAAAACATATAACTGGGGTATGACAAGACGTGCTCGAGCCCCAATGAACTAACACGTGTAATAAAAAAAAAAATTTGTTCTTGCAGAGTTCAAAACGATTCCGTTTAATCAGATCCGACCATGACTAGGTCAGACTAGACTAGCTAAAAGTTCAAACAGGTCTCCGTGCTGATATCTGAGAAAGGCTGATAGTGTAATAAACCATATGACGATAGACTTTATTGAAGTAGAGCGATGAAAAAAGAATTTTTATTCATCACGATTTGAAAGTACTCGTTTCAATTGTCATTACTTAATTGTTATTATAATGCAACAATGAAATTATAATATAAACTATAATATTACTTGGTTGTAATTAACAAGGAAGTTTAAAAATTATCGTCATCAAATTCTCTCTCTCTCTCTCTCTCTCTCTCTATCTCTATCTCTCTCACTCTATCTATCTATCTATCTATCTATCTATCTATCTATCTATCTATCGATATATCTAGATAACTATCTATCCCTTTTATCTCACGAGAGATAAATTTAGGGAAAAAAGATAATCAACTCTCACAAATAATATAACGTCATATAATGTCATAATTACTTTGAATGTGAGTTCAATTGATTTCTAAAATTACGTAATCTCTTTAAATAATTTATCGATCAAATGAATTGTTCCGTACGAAGCTTCTTTTTACAAGGGGAAATCGACCCATTAATCCTTTCCGAAGTAATATTTAATTATGAAAAATTTACATAAATAATTGTTTGAATTTACGGTCGTTGATCTATGTATATGTAATTATTTATCCAAGTGAACATTCAAGTTTTACTTACAGTTAATTTTAACAGCAAGAATAACTGAAATAAAATTCATGCTCCTACCATCGCGAGGTTAATTTTTTCAATCATTATGATTGAAAAAAAATTTTAATTTATTCAATGTTCTGGCGTATTAACGATTGGCACATTAGGAAAGTATCTGCGAATATTATAAGAATTATAATTAAATATTGCATAAAATGCTTTTATTATAATTAAATATTTCTGGTACATTTGAGTTCAGTCGATACAATGTGATGAAGTGTGGCACACTCGTAGACACCCCTCCGTTAACAGCATTCACAATAATCCGTTATATACAAAACAACATTATTCGAATGCTCTTATCATTTTACAATGACATTTCAGAATATAAAACGATAATTATCATATGGCAACAATTAATGAAAGTTATTTCAAAATTACACAAACCTTTTACTTTGGCTCTTTATTATAAAACATAAAAATTTCTCTGAGCGTGCGCTGTCAGTGGCAATAATAAATAAATAAATACATAAATATAAAATAAAGATATATCTATCAGGCAAATTATCGGCTTAAATATCAATTAAAAAATAATATTAAATGCAATAATAATGTAAGATACGATATTATATTGTGCTTATATTTAATTGAACATTTCAACGTATCGCTTATGTTTCCGGCTCGAATTCTTGAAAAATTGCAAATCACTTACAAATTAATTACAAATAATGCTGAATGGGGTGCACGTTGAGTGTAATCCTATCCTAAGTATCATATTTTAAACTTTGGATAAAATGAATTAATATCGCTTTCAGGCACCGCGTGTTGCTTAACATAGTTAAATAAAAAGTGTGACTGGCACTTAATATAGTACAATTGCGTTACACCATATTACAATTAAATAAATATTATCACACACCGATTGTGAGCATTGGCTTACTAAATCGCATTTTATAAATGATACGGAGGAGGAGAACTTGGCGCAATATATTAAGTACACAAATAAGCTCGACGAATTAGAGAGAAATTCCATCGGGTATGCGTTGACTAGCGGTAGCTTTCGATACAAAGCAATTGAGACTCGCAAGAAAAATTCAATGTAACGCCGTAATTTACGAACGAGGACACATTCACGCGGGTAAAGGGAACAAAAACTCACGCGCCCGTACGCCGTAGCGCGAAGCTGGAAGTGGATGATAAAAAACGAAGTAAAAAAAGAAAAAGAAATAAGAGGAACGAACGGTAGGGGCTAGGATTTCGGACATGGCTGCATAACATAGGCGCGAAATCCCTTGTGCGCCTGCCGTAGATGATTCATTAGGCAATACTTTGTCTCCTCGAGGACGTCGATCATGGAGTCACTCGAGCGATTTGCCAGGGCGTCGGTGTACTTCTCGAGAAGATCGAGATTGATTTCCGGAACGTCGTCGAGCTCCTCGGCCGCGCTCAGGGCCAAGTTGACGTCGTTCTCGAGAGGCTCGACCCTCGGCTCCTTAGTGCTCAGCCTGCAATAACAAGGCAAAATCGTTGTGAAGCGCAGCTTTCGTTACCCACGCGTCCACGTAAATTGCACCGACCGCGTAAAAAATTTCATTCTCTCTCTCTCTCCCTCTCTCTCCCTCTCTCTCTCTCTCTCTCTCTCTCTCTCTCTCTCTCTCTCTCTTGCTCACTCTTGCCGCTGACTTGCAAACAAACTCACTCACCCTACTCGCTTTTACAAGAGTGCAGCAATAAATTTGCCAGACCTCTCGCTCTATCTCCTTCTTTTTCGCGCATTTCCATATCACTCCCACGTCGTTTTCAAAAAGAGTAAGCGAACGCGATGGTGCGTTGGGAGGATTTTTCTATTGGACATACCGAAACGTATGATTATGCGTAAACGCGAAAATGACGTATTATAGGCGGTAAAGCGTTGCGGATTGCGGATTGCCGTGGCTCGAGCGAGCTACGTATCGCAAAGGCGCGCGAGGAAAAATTAAATTGTAAAAATTTCCGCGCCCAAGATATCAGCCCCGTGCGACCTTGTCGCGGCTGGAGAGATTAAGAGGCCGATTATGCGCGCTGTTAACTTAAATCGTCGTTTCGTAATACCGTAATTTCGTAATTACGGAAATTTCGGTACAGGCCGATAGTGGAAAATAATGCAGCGACTTGAAAAGTCGAACGACTCGAGGCGAGTTATGCGACGATGGGACACGCGCGATTCTAAAACACCAAAGGATTATGTCACACCCCGTCTGATATGTGAATCGATCACCATATCCTATTGATTATTCAGCGCAATGAATTTGGAGCAAAGTGAATGGTACCGAGGTGAAAAAAAATTCTAGTACTGAATTGATAATGACGGTAGGGTGAGTCATTGGGCATTGGGCGCGATATCAACAGAATCCTGTTTCGATTGTAAATATGAGGCGGCAGCTTGCCAGCAGCGAGTCTTGCGAAAAGCAAAATAAACGCTTATCCGCTTGTGTGACTCGTATGAGCAATGAATAACAGCGATACCCACCGATAGCGCCGTTCCTTATCGATGTAAGCGGCGCATTTCTCGTAGAGCTCGAGGCAACGCAGGTCCGTGTCCCGCTTGCCCTGGCTCAGGTACTCAGCGAGCATCTTCCGGCCCTGTGCGTGCCCGAGTGTCCGCTGAACATGATCCGTTAAGAAATCGAGCTGCTCGACGGTCAGGCCGCTGGTGCACTTGCCGATACAGCCGAGCGTCGTCCTCGTGGTCGAGCCGCCGGACGAGCCCGTTGCGGCGGCCTTCATCCCCAGATTTGAATTTCCCGCCAAGCGTCACGGACTCGCGATCCGGCCGAGTTGTCGATAAGGCGTTGGCGACGAGGAGTGACGGGAGGAGTAGAGCCGCGGCACCGGCCTCCGCGCAATTCGACGACCGAGGGTAGAGACCTCGTTGCGCAATCCTTCCGTTACGGAGCGTGGGTGGAAAAAGGAGAGCGCGTCGCTGTAGCCGGGGTCACGAAATCGATCGTCGGAGCGTCGGACCCGGCGCTCGTACACGTTCGAAGCTCCTCCACGACTGGCGACGCTCTTCATGGGCGAATGACGCGCGCCTGCGCATCCTCATCGAGCAAAAGCCCCTTGTTATTCTCGTATCCGTTGTCGTCGTCGTCGTCGTCGTCGTCGCATCGTCATTTACTCGAAATAGCTTAGTGACTGATGTCGCTGTCGACCTCGTCGGCGATCGGTAAACCAGTCCAACGACATGAACGGGCCGATGATCTACCGACGTACATACGAACGGACAATGAGTGAGAGAAAGCGAGAGAGACAGTGTGACGAGAGAGGGAGCGAGAGACCGAGAGAGAGTGAACGAGCGAACGAGGGTGGGCGGGAGGGAGGGAGAACAGTCGTCTGCCGGCGACGATGGCGCTGCTGCGCCGTTACCCCCACGCGCGCCCCCGTGATCGCCGCCACCATTCAAAAATACCGTCCATCCGACCTCCGGGGGCAACCGCGCGAGATTCGACACGGCATGGCTTTTTGCCCTTGGTGAGGGCAATCGGGGGAGAGGGAAGCTTCCGCGCGGGGAGAAAGTGGCTTGCGCAAGGAGGTCCGCGACGAATCCGAGGACAATGGTGGGCCACTGTGGGGTGGCGAGGAGGGAGCTCGCCCGTCCGGCCACCCGCTCGCCATCCTCGGCGGAGCCTTTCCCCGTCGGCGGCTACCAGCGCGCAGCCAGGAGCGCGGCCGGGGAGCCGTCTCTATAAAGCGACGCGCGGCCCTTTCCCCAAAGACACTCGCTCACGAGGCCTCGCCGCCTTTTGCCGACAACGCAGCCTTAGCAGAGCCACGCACGCTAGATCCGAATCCGCAACGAATCCGACCTCTCACGAGCGTACGCGCAAATACACGCACGTACACACAAAAACACCATGTGGCGGGAGCTCGTCATTGCAGGTGAGTGCGCGCAGCCCGCGCCTTTCTAACGCTCGCGGAAATGATGCGCGAGCGGCGATCGCGTAACGCTTTGATGGGATCGTGTGCGCGCGGCTCGTAATCGGCGCCCGACGATTTCTAATTTCCGTGTGCATTTCTTCGACGAAGCGAAGAGTCGCTTCTCGGTCGGTGAAACCGACGGTTACGTCGAGGCCACTCGGTCTTTGGCGCCGACGAGTCTCCAAGAACGCGGCTCAAGGAACACCGCAACCTTTTTTACACACGTCAAAGCGTCTCATTTATAATTTCACACTTTGTTAACTCGTGTTTCACGCCACTTATCCACCCTCTTTTTCTCGCTAAGGCACTTTTCAACTAATACTACTCCGCGGTATTTAAAAATGGACAAAGAACTTTAGCCTCCCTCCTCACCCCATCGCCCAATCTCGCTCATTCTCTCTCTCTCTCTCTCTCTCTCTCTCTCTTTGTCTCTTTGTCTCTTTGTCTCTCTTTCTCTCTTCTCCTTCTTCCCCCCCCCCCCCTATATATATATATATGTCTATCTCTATATATCTTTCTTAATTACACTTTGCATACTTTCTTATGTACCGTAAAATTATTTTCTTTGCACTGCCTAGTCGCAGTCGAATCCGCCCCCCCCCACCCCACCCCAGCTAATGAATACACTGTTAATCTTACGGTTGCGCTAAATCGATAATCTCTTTCCCGCGGTAAATTCTCACTCGCACGGCTTTTAATTTGACGTAAGACTCATTTAATAGTTCCTAAATTCACACTGAAAAATGTCACGTGACTCCACGTTACATAATTTCATACATAATATGCATTTAACGCTGATAATCGCACGTCGTTAATTACCATAAGTATATCATTAATAAATTTTTTTTTCGTTTTTGCCGAGCGACAGCAAGCCTCACCAAGACTTTCAAATCTCATTGTTAATACGACATTTTAAGCAACAATACGGTATTTTACGTATCGTAAAAGTTAATTATTCACCTATAATATGTATAGTAAGCGTAAATTTATAACGATTTAAATATATGTACGTGCTATTTTTCAATTATGCATTAAAGCGGCTTTTATGAGAGCGTATTTTTCTCTGCCCACGCAACTTGAAGGGAAACGTGACGCATAATTACGAAAATTGTAGTATTAACAATTAGCGTAATTCAAATAAAACAATGAATAAATTAACACATAATAAATCAATTATTTCTTTACGGGATATTGGACGCTGAAAGTCGCGTTATGAGCGTAATGATACATAATGTTTAGAGAATAATTACGCGAATAATAATGCTTCCGGGTCAGAGCAGCCGTAAATCAATAATGTTATTCACTACAGGAACGCAGCAGTCCAAATGCTGTTAAATACCGGAAAAGATTAGAATGTTATAAAGGAAAACGAGAAAAAGAAAGAAAAGAAAAGAGTAGGCTAAGGCTCGCTAATTCCGCACACGTTACGTTACGTTTCGACGCCATATATATAATGACGTGCGTTAATGAACTTGTGTAATAATTTGTCGCCTTGTAGAAAAATGGGAAAATGTTAAATGGAAGGGGCGCCGAGGTGGGTATCCGTCATTTACGACTCTCTCGGTTCTTTAACTTTTTCCATAAAAATCGAGAAAATTGGGAGCCGCATAGCCAGCCACATAGCCGCGCGTACTCTAAGCACCGATAAAATATATAAAATAAGGATGTGAAATCGATAAATAATAATTTTAATCGAACCGTCCGTTGGCCACGAGCCAACATTTTTAATTAGCCATTATATAGCGAGACGGCTAATACAGTTTCTACTACGAAATTTCAGCCAAACCTAACGATAAAAATAAAGTAAGGAAAAAACGTCCACCTTTTCTTGAAAGTTGTTTACCAATGTCCGCTTATTAATTGTATTTATCTCTAAGCGGATAAGTCCGAGCATAGAGTAACAAGTATAGGCTTGGCTGTCGGCCGATCGGAACAGCCAATGTACTTCCTGCTTATAAAGATAATGTTATTATGCGAAATTTCCGCACTAATTTTTGGCCTCGACGGCTTTCGCATTATACATAATAACGGCGACGACGAGAATTGCTGCTACCGTTCGAAAAGGATGCGTCCTCATAAATAATAAAAGCATCATCGTATGAAAATTATGCAACGCGCGAGTTGACGGCTGGACGTGGACGATAAAAAACCTGCCGAATGCTGGATAAGCGCACTTTACCATTATAATAACGGCCGTTAACAGATCGTTAATAAGGCTAGCGTGACGCTATCCATGATTTTCCAATAACCTTGCAACCTGTTCTTACATCGTCTGATCTGCCATTGTGCAGTTAAAAAATCCTAGGCGGCTTTTCACTCTCTCTCTCTCTCTCTCTCTCTCTCTCAGTCTCAGTCTCAGTCTCAGTCTCAGTCTCAGTCTCAATCTCAATCTCAATCTCAATCTCAATCTCAATCTCAATCTCAATCTCAATCTCAATCTTAATCTTCTCCCCTCTCCCCATCGCACCGTGCGCTCTTCCCCATTCCGTTGGGGAGCCATTTACCCGGCGCGTTTCGTAAGCTACGGAGAAACGTAAGGTGTCGTGCGAGTTTTCCGATAAAAAATTCAGCCTCCCAATTCATATTGTGTCTCTGGCATTGTGGCTGGCGAAACTTTGATCATTCGAGCTGTCAATTCAAGTGGACGCATGAAAAAAAGGGCGGAAAAAAAATTAGAGAAGATTCCACGGTAATGGACGTCAATGGGGAATGAATGGGTTCATTGGGATGGTACGGGAAGGGGTTGAGAGGAGGGCTACGCGAGAGAGAGAAAGAGAGAGAGAGAGAGAGAGAGAGAGAGAGAGAGAGAGAGACAGATAAAGGGGGAGAAAGCACGAGGCGTCACAACGTAACGCCTCGGTCGGGAAATCTGTGGCCCCGATCGGCCCGACGACGACGAGGTCGAGGGGTGCGCGCGTGAGAAAGCCGCGGCGAGCGACGGGGACGAGGAGCCTCGAGTGCGCAACCGCTGGAGGGCGGACAACTTGGCGGGAAAGTTGCATAGGAGCGCGGGGAAAGTGGGATCGCGTATCCGCCGCACGTGCGGGAACAGACCGGGCCCTGTTCCCACGCGGACCGTCGTGGGAGCGGGCCCGAGTTTAACGACCTTGCCAATATTTTCAGGTCTGCTGGCGGTGGCTGCATGCGCCGCAGCCAAGGACGAAGAGGAGCCCGAGGCACTGAGCAAAAGGTCGCCAATATCGGCCAGTGGCGTTTACGGGGCGGCGACCCCGAGGGGCCAGTTCATCGTGCGCCACGTCGACGACGCGCAGGAGGTGAGTCCAATGAGTCCGGTGCGCCGGTGACGCTAGTCCCGGATGACCGAGCCCCTCGCGAACGCAGCCAAGGTTAACCGGTCCATGCCGAGAAAGCACCAAGACCTCCTCTTGTACTTTTACCTTATCGACAAAACGAACCTTCGGCTCCGAGTACACCTAGACTCTCGCTGCGCTCTCTTATCCGAGCGAATCAGAAAATTACTCAACAATGCCTATATAGTGTTATTATCTCGGGTGATACGCTTGCGTCATGCGCCTCGCGGCGTACGCTGACGAAAAATTACCCCCGACTGTCTTATGGGCGGACACCTGGTGAGGACACTCGATGTTCGTGTTTCTCCCAGCACCGATCATGCCCATTATACTGGCACTTACAAAACGCCGGTACGATGATTATTCTTATCGCTGGGTTATCGGACAAGCGGCATAGACATTTGTTTAAAGGTCCTTTTAATTCAATTCGAAAGTGGAAACTTACGCGCTTGACAAACTACAATTGGCCGTAGTCGCTTTCGAAAGGTCGCGCATACCGTCGGCGCACTACTAGCGCCAAAAAGCTACTTATTAAATCTGCACGGAATTCCATTTTCTTTTCTCTTTCTTTATCGCTTTTTCTTCGTTTTTCTTTTTGTTTTTTTTTGTCTTTTTTTTTTGTTTTTTTCTTTTTGTCTTTTGTTTTTTGTTTTTTTTTTGTTTTTTGTTTTATTGTTGACGTCGCTGTCGTTGTCGCTATTACTGTTGCTCCTACCGTTACTGTTATCTCGAGCAGGAAAAAAGGCCGCCTTTATCTCACTTGCCTTACCCTTGGATATCAGATTTCAGGCCCGCTGCAACGCGAATATCTTTGATATCTGAATAATTACAAGACTTTGGACTTTATTCCTTTCTAAACTCACGTTTAATTGATTCCACATGCATTAAATCGAGCCACAACTAATTTCTCACGCAAGCTATTTTATCACATCCGGCTTTGGCAAGATATTAACAAAGAATCGGAGTAGCAATCAACGGACCAAATTACGGATTCTATGTTACAGTGTTACACTCATCTGTAACCCAATCCGAAGACACGTAAGCGATCGTGCGTCTTATGCATTAGGCTTAAATCTCTCGTGGAGTGATTATGCAAGTTGCGCGTTTCAAATTTTCGCATATACAATTAATGATATAATAATTTTATTTAACGCGTCCGACTACCTGCTCCATTCTTTATACTCGCTAGTTTACATTCCCATGCTGTTCCATTAGCGTCGTTGGTATTTTACTTAACTTTCCCAGACCATGAGACGGTCGAATTATTCTACAATTCATGAATCTTATTCAGCTTTCATAATCGATACGCATTCTTGATTTAGAATCCTTTGATGATTATTCCATTATAATACTAATGACTAATTATTGAAAGATTAAAGATTCTTCGTCATTGAATAGATAACATTTCTCTTAAGATTAATAGCAACGACGAATTACTCCGTATAATAATAATAATAATGATAATGATAATGATTATGATAATGATAATGATAATGATAATGATAATGATAATGATAATGATAATGATAATGATAATGATAATGATAATGATAATGATAATGATAATGATAATGATAATGATAATGATAATGATAATGATAATGATAATGATAATGATAATGATAATGATAATGATAATGATAATGATAATGATAATGATAATGATAATGATAATGATAATGATAATGATAATGATAATGATAATGATAATGATAATGATAATGATAATGATAATGATAATGATAATGATAATGATAATGATAATGATAATGATAATGATAATGATAATGATAATGATAATGATAATGATAATGATAATGATAATGATAATGATAATGATAATGATAATGATAATGATAATGATAATGATAATGATAATGATAATGATAATGATAATGATAATGATAATGATAATGATAATGATAATGATAATGATAATGATAATGATAATGATAATGATAATGATAATGATAATGATAATGATAATGATAATGATAATGATAATGATAATGATAATGATAATGATAATGATAATGATAATGATAATGATAATGATAATGATAATGATAATGATAATGATAATGATAATGATAATGATAATGATAATGATAATGATAATGATAATGATAATGATAATGATAATGATAATGATAATGATAATGATAATGATAATGATAATGATAATGATAATGATAATGATAATGATAATGATAATGATAATGATAATGATAATGATAATGATAATGATAATGATAATGATAATGATAATGATAATGATAATGATAATGATAATGATAATGATAATGATAATGATAATGATAATGATAATGATAATGATAATGATAATAATAATAATAATAACACTCGTTAAGACGGCTATCGGCCCTAATTATTATTACTATGTAACAATTATTTACTTTCGTGCACGACGAATGTAAAATATCCTAATCCGTATAGACGTATAAATAATGAGTCCTTAATTAATTAACAGCTTTATTAATAATCGAGTGAAACAGTCTTATTGTTACGTCATACGTTCACGATGACAATGCATGATATTAAACTGTTATTATGCAACGATCTGTCAGAGTGAAAAGTTGTAACCGACTGTTAGAGGGAAGATTTTTGTTAAAAGTATAAATAACGTTAACAAGCGTATTTCGAAATTTTCTGGATTGGTAATAGCTTTGAATTTCTACTAAGAAAGTCCTCTCGAAAGAAAGTCGCGAGTCTTTTGTTTTATACGTATGCGCCATTTTATATTATTGTCACTTTCATTCGTGCAACGAAGATAGGAAAATTAGCAATTTTATTATCGAAATAAATAAATAATTAACACTGTTAGATGTTGAAGCTCTTTATAACGTTTAACGTTATAAAATAATGTTATAGAACTTAATGTAAGGATTCTATTGAATTTTTCTCGTTTAAAAAGAAAATATCTCATCCATAAAAGCGTAACAAAACGTAAAGGAAAAAAATAAACAAAAAACAACAACAACGACGACAACGACAATCAAAAGAAGAAAAAAAGCTTCGTACGCGTTCATAAGTCAATGCTTGTATTATAATAAATTAATTCAATCAACTAGATTGCGCTGTTTCGAACTATCCTTTAGAAATTAAAAAATCGTTTATTGTCATTCATTTGTATAATGCCATTTACATAAATTACAAAAGCTCGCGTATCCAATAAAATAAATAAATACGCCGTGGAACTTTCCATCTATATTACTAATTCTAGGAGTTAATCTAGTAATGTAGATTCATTTTCAGCGAACATATTTCACAATAAAAAAAGTTGTCGATTTTCCTTAGCCGCAGTTTCATAAGAAAATAATAAACTTTTAGAAGGTTAGCATTAATCTTGAATCAAGCTACTTTGCCTATTGGAAGTTTAGTTTTTTTTTCTCTTTTTTTTTTTTTTTTTTTTCTACAATGCATGCACATATCATTCCGCAAAGGTGTAAAGAATTCGAGCAATTGCGTCGTTATAAAAGCAATGTTTATTGGAATTTAATTTAATTGAGCCATTGCCTCATTGGTGAACATTGTGACATCGTCGCTCGACAGAAAGTCCTAATCGTCATATTTCCTCTTCCCCGTCCCCCACCCCCGCCCCTTTGAGCGCACCATGAAAGTAAAGCGCGAGTAAAAAGAGAAAATAAGATCGAAGGTGCGATAAAAAAGAAATCGAGAATTAAAGCCCATCTCGTGTACTAATTAAATAAAAAGTAATTAATTTAGAGTAAAAAGTTATTTAAAATTGTCATTACTGGGGCTCGTGCAGCGACATTGATTACTCAATTTCATTCTGCTTATCAATATAAAGAAATTCAATTTAAATGCGGCGATTCGTGGAGAGTGCGCGCGCGCACCGCAAATGGTGGAGTACCGGTGAAATTGAATGAGACGCGCGGCGCCGCAACGGCGATCGGACCGAATAAATTATAAGAAAAAGCGAGTGGCCTTTCATCTATCGGAAAAGGTTAGATGCGTGGAGCGCCGCGAGAAGAATTTCATGCTTCGTTTACAAAACGAAACGCATTATCTAAGCGCGCGCTCGCCGTATGAAACGAGAGCAGTAGCGGCGGACACAAGATGCGGAGAAAAGGAGAGAGAAATCAATGAGTCCCGAGGTTGCGCCGCTCGCTATTCCGCATTGTCCTATCGCTCGCAACTCCCTTACATAAGTCCTGCCGTCAATTGCTACTCCGTACTTCTAATTTCGGCTATAGCCTCCGAGGATGACGCTGCCGCCACCTCACCTCTCCCACCACCTTACCCCGTTCATCTTCTCCTTCTCCGGCACCCTCCCTCACTCTCTCGTTCCTCCTCCCTCCACCAATCCCTACGGTATCTCCTGCCCGCATCGTCGACTAGCAGCGATTGCGTAAGCCGCCAAAGCGCATTCTGACCGGTAAAACGAGCGCTATCCTCTCTCTCTCTCTCTCTCTCTCTCTCTCTCTCTCTCTCTTTCTCTCTCGCTCACTCGCTTTCGCGATTTCGCGGCGATCGGCCTCGCATCGCGCTCTGAGCACCGGACCGAGACTCGCGCACACAATCTCCGTTGCGCGAGTGGGACTCCCTTCCGCCAGCCTTTAAAATCTCTCTCTCTCTCTCTCTCTCTCTCTCTCTCTCTCTCTCCACACTCCTGTTTCCCCTCAACCACCACCCACCCTCCCTCCTCATTCTTTTTTTTCTTCTTCATTTTCCCCCGTTTACCCATCAACGTCCGCGCTAAAACTTTCGCGCTTGTCTCTCCCTTTGGATTCGCCTCCTTTTTTTTTTCTTTTTTTTTTCATTTTTTTTTTACCACTTTCCCACGGCCTTTACCTCCGGGTAGCTAAGACGCCAGGAATTAACGAACATCGGCTCACCGGGATTGGGGGCTGCGCTAATCCGTGCGCCGGAGACGCTGTTTATTTACGTAATTACGCGTCGGCCACCGATGTATTGCCTTTAACGATGCGAACCGCGGGATCTGCTAAGTCTAAGGCGCGGAGCGCGCGCTCCACATTTGCCGGTCACCGATTCTGTCCTCCGTCTCCACCGGCGCTCGCCCCTTTTTCTATTGCTCAAGTTTAAACGAGCCGAGCGCACTTTGCCATACATTCCTTCTAACCTCTCTCGCTCGCGCTATTTCTCTTAATTTCACTTTTAAAGCTTTCGTTCCATTGCGCCTAAGGGGGGCCTAAGAGCGCATTTTCTCGAAGAAGCCTGCATTTCGTCCGCGTACTCGGTTTCGCGCCGCGCACGTCCAAGCAGCGACATAAAACGACCGAAGGACAAGAAGTAGAACAAGAGAGTATGCAAAAATATCCGTCGATTAGCCCATTATTATCGTGCTCTACATTAACTCTTTACTAACAAACCATCAAATTATAACTTAATAATAGCAGCGCATAAATCAAAGCATTATGAAGTCACTGCGATTATCCTCTAGGCGAGCGATCAATCGATTAGCATAAACGGGCTGTAATCATAATCTGGACTACCGTTTATAGACTAAGGAAGCAGACTAAGCAACATCGAGAAGAGAATTTAGATCATTATTTCGCATTATAATTACGAACCATTTATTACAGAATGCTTGATGGCTCATTTAATATTAATAATCAACGAAATATTTTCTCAATTTTCTTTATATACAATATGTAATTTAGATGCCTAAACGTGTGTGTTGGTTTTTAGCCTGCGTGGGTAGATGCGAATTGAGGCGCAAATTTGTGTATTCGCACGTATAAAGATTTTTTTTTTTTTTTTTTTTTTTTTTTTTTTTTTTTATTGTCTCTACCCGTTAGTTAATGTACAATATATGCTTTCCCATGTTATTTCGTCAACTGCACGGAGTATGTTTCAACAGTTTCACGTACTAAGCACACCCGTCTTAACTTTTCTTTTCGTTTCTTTTCATTTCTTTTCTTTACATTATTTTTCTTTCATATATATATATATATATATTTTTTTTTTATTATTTTTTTTTTTAAAAGAGTACCTATCGGTGAGTTATTTCAAAGTATGCGAAAGGTTTTCTCAACTTTCCCAACGGAGAGAAAACTGTCGCTTCTTACCTAACAAAGCGCAAGAACCGAAGGTCAGTGTACATCCCTAGCTTCCGTTACACCTATTTAAATGGCTCGCGCCTGCTCCTCACGAGCCAACCGGTCACACTAGTTCTCCCATGCTGTACTTTTTCTATATTGCAAAACGCGGCAACACTTGGACTTTCTAGCCCGATCGTTAACCCAAACGCTGCATCACGTAACAAAAATTTGAATAAGGTAAATAAATCGCATACTACTCATGGAACTCGTGCACGTCAACAGCTCTCTTCCGAGTACCTTGGTATTCTCCAGCAATACCTCAAGGCTCAACAGCAGCACCAGCAACAACAGCAGCAACACCAGCAGCACGTGCCAGCACGCGCGCAACTCGGCGCATTCATCGAGCAAGAACCCCTGTCGCATAAGCATCTCCAGGTAAATTTACTCATTTAGAGCTGAGCTCGCTACTCATTAAATTTACGTGCTCCAACAGCATCGCCAATATCACATCGATTTATCGATAAGCCGTCCATTTTAACGACGTTCCTTTTCTACCACGGAATATGGATTTTCATTAACCGTGCAATTTATATACCGATGTTATTGCCCTGACGCAATGGTTCCTCGCTATGCGCGGCCGACCGAATCCCCCGCCTCTACTCGGTATGCGTATACTTTCCTCTTAGGTAAACTTCCATTCAAATAAAAATGCCATACATCCTTGCGAAAAGCAACGAGACTTTTGCTCCAAATTCCAGAAAGATGACGGTACGGGAAAAACGGCGACCAATCGCGAATCACGGAGCTTTCTATCGCACGGCTGAAAGTTTTCCACGTCATACCGTCCCTATAGCGCCACAAATATATTGCTGCGCTTGTTCCTCGCTATCGACTACGCGCGCAATCCCGATTCTATTCTACGTAACGATGCGCGACGAGTCGCTGATTAGTCATAGACAATAGGCGATTATGTATGTTCGTTCGCTGAAAATAACGATCGGTCAGCGGCACACAAAATTCAGCCTCATCAACATTCACCATTGATCATTTAGCACCGAATTTCAAAAACATTCAGCCATCTCATAGCTCGCGCTACCGTCGCAAACCTAACTATCCAAAAATTAAATCCATTCGCGTCCAGGAGATACCGCTCGAGGTCGAGCAGTATCACGTGGAGACGTCGCCACGAAGGCCCGTGCAGCAACAGCAGCATCAACAACATCAGCCGCAACAGCATCAGCATCAGCTGTACTACCCAATTGAGGAACAGGCGGCAGTCGCGCCTCAGGCCCATCATCAATCCCCGGCTCAGGCCCAGGCTCACGCGCACATACACCACTCGGCGACCCAGCCTCAAACCCCTGAGCCCCAGCATCAGGCCCAGGCCCAGGTCCAGGCCCAACCCCAGCAATTCCGCTATCATCAGTCGGTGCCGATCCAGTATGGCTACGAGGACGAGCAGCAAATCCAACAGCAGCAGCAGAACCCCGAGGCGATAGTTCGCGCCCAGGCCCAGGCCGAGGCTCAGGCCCTCGCTTTCCAAAAGATCGCCCAGGCCTCCCATTACAAGCATCAAGACGCGGCTCTCGAGCAGATACGCATTACCAATGAGAAGCACCGCCAGCAAAGCGCTCTCGAGCAGATCAGACAGGGCGAGGCTGTTAGCGAGGCTGGACGACAGGAGCAGGTGAGTCTTTTATATTTTCTGTTTCTCCATTATTTGCCCCCCCCCCCCATATACATACGAAGAAATAAGACTCAAGGGGCCAATTAAACGAGGCGCGACTCCTTGTGCGCCTCGACGATGCTCACCATCGACAGCTAATTTCCAACATTTACGAACAAATTTAGCGTGTGGCGACGCGGGGTGGGGATAAGGGGAGAGGCTACATTCTAGCCTGAGACGCGCTTTTAGTAAAATTTTGTGGGATTTTTTTATTCTCTAGGAAAATGTGCGAAAAGTATTCCGTTGAAGAAGAAAACATCATCTATATATAATGAAATATTTCAATTCAGAGAAGTAAAATGTGAAAAGAAATTTATCATTACAATGTATGTAATAATGTATATAATAGATGATGTAACAGGTTGTTTTGCCACGTCGACAACAATTTAGCATAAGAAATTTAAAAAGATTCTTAAACTACAATTAAGCGATAGTAGGTTCAACGTTTTTAAATACGAAGAAAACGGTATTTTTTTATAGGTTTCCGTGATATGACTTTTATACAAATTATATACATGAGTGTTTGAGCTATATTTAAGCCGATTTTGTAAACGTCGTTTCGTGAAAAACACATTTCAATATTATAATCATTCCGAGAAAAATTATTTTATTCGCAATTTTACTGCGAACGCTGACACTATGCCTATTGCGTTCGTTTTTTTTTTTGTTTTTTGTTTTTTTTTCAAAAATCTTTAGTAACTCTTTGGTATATTGTACGTTGTACTTAGTATTGATAAAAATATTTTATTAAAAATAAAAATGAGAAAATAATAGACTATTTGAAATATCGTTACTCTTGAACAGGCACATTTTATCGGAAAGGACGGATTGGATTGGCCGTTATTGCTTTAAGTTTTTATTCTTAAATATTTCTCTAATGAATTAGTTGGTAGCTGTTAAATCTTCATAATGGTCTACGTGGACATACATACGGGCAGTCGATAGAAAGTTGCAAAACGATTTATGATTTACGCCACTAGTACCGATTACCTTTTTCGGCAAGGCTGCATCTTCTCGGCGATCACATTTTTTTTTTTTTTTCATGGAACATTATTCAAAATTCATCGCTCTCGTACAGAATACGTCACAACTTGTTCCACTAATTAACCAATGACTTTATCATCCTCGTCTTTTGTGTACGTCAGTGCATTTCAATGATTATTAATTCCTTAATGTTATTACATAATGTGCTTCAACTAGACAATATATACATATAAAAAGGCAATATATTGCTCGTGACTTTATTAAAAATTTACCTTTTCGAATTTCACGAATTTTAGATATATTATAGTAATGTGGATTAACATTATCAATATTATATTAATTAATTTAATTATAAAGTGGTACGGGGATAGATTTTAAAGCATAAGGTATTTTGATCGTGTTATTACTGTTTGAAACAATGAATTTCCGATGTAATGATCGTTATTATTATTAAAAAAAAAAAATACAAGAGTCTTTTACCGTGGGATGCGGACTATGAAATACCAAAGCGGAAAAAACAATACAAACGATTACAGTCTAAGAGATACCGACTTTCATGCCAAAGAAAAATCTCTTTGATGAATTTCTCAATAATAATGGTAATATAAATTAATGCTTTTTATAATAGAGTAGCGAACAATTGGAAAAATAATAAGAACTAAACTCGTACGAGCCAAGCTAATTTTATAATGATTAAACCTAATAACGAATCTATTGTTTTGATTTTACACTCATTTCCGAAACATTTAATCACGAAAATTTGTTATCACGATAAAATATAACGAACTCGAAGGGTCCAAATGAGTCGGAGAGATAATTGAGGCTTACAGGGATAGACGTAGTCTCCTTCGTCAGATAAAAAATAATATCTCGCGTTAAATAAGTTCACGAGCAAAATGTTAAAGTGCAACTGTCATAACTCATATTGCGGTAAGACGTGCACGCAAAATAAACAGTTATGCCTGTTCAAGTATAACTGACCACTCGTTAATAAAATTATAAAATAGAAGGAAATATGATTCTTTACGGACTTTGTTGGGTGAGCATGTCCGATATTATTTTTTACCTCAACGTCAATAGCGCAGATCGTAAAACCGCATTTGACCGAACGTAAATTAATAATAACATTAGTATTTTATTCTTATTAGTGTTGGTATTTTGTAAGAAAGTGAGCGCAATACTTAGCTTTATCAGTGTGCTTGGTACTTAACTTATATTTTGAATGGATCTCGCGCACCTCCAAGATAAAAATGTATTGATCGCGAGATTTTTACTCTCATATTTTGTTAATCTGAAAAAGTCAACCACATGAACAATGTGGCAGTAATGGCAACTAAAGAAGAATTTTTTTTAACGCGTTTAATTTTGAATATCATATATACTACAGTTTCATTTTACAACCAGAATTTAACACTTTCGTATCAGATAAAAACATATAATGTTTAGATTAAGTCGCTTAAAATGACATTATCAAAAACTATTTTTATGTGTAGATCGTTGCGCTCCAACGATCTACTAATTATTTTTCCATAGAGAATTGAATGATACGTGTATGAATATATATATATATATATGTGTAATACACGCTGATTTGGCAATTCTCCAATAAAAAATATATATTGAATTTATTTCCAAAGTTAATTAAAAATAAAAATATGATAGATAAAAACAAAATAATAAAAAAAAAACAAAAGAAAAGAAGGGAAGTAAAAATTAATAATCTTCGTAATACATTTTCAACGAAGTTGATTGATTTATTATTGAACTTGAATGTCGTTACAGATATGTATATCGTACATAGAAAATTATGATATTAATTGACGGTTGCATTCAAGAAGATAATTTATTATTTCGACTTATTTTATATTATAGATTATTTTTAAAAAAAATTATTTTTATTGCATTTTTATAAGCTTATGTATTTTCACACCCTATAGTTAAAAATGTTTTTCGAACTTGGATATTATTCATTGAATAATATTGTATTTTGAATATTAAAATATGTAAATATCATTAATAAAGTGTCTTGTTTCAAAGTGATTAATATCATTAAGCTACATATTTTATGTGACTAATTTCTTATAGAAAAACGTTAACTACATACTTCACGACACTTTTTATTTATAAAATAGTCGCAAATTTTCTTAATTAATACGTTTGGATATGGCAGCTTTTAGCGAACGCTCGGACACAATTATCAGTATAAGCGACAATAAGAAAAAGACAGAGGTATGTCATATGTTCTTGATTAATTAGTTTTTGCAATTTTTGTATTATTTTCACGAATTCTTTAGAATTCAAGCAATTTCGACTTGCGGAGAAAGCTAATAATAGCGATTCAAACCGATCGCGCACTGCAATTAAACGCTTACTTTTTAAGAATTGAATAATCGTTTACTTTGATATTAAGAGCTAAATTTTTTGATTAAATATGTAAAAAGAATAGAATAATAACTTTAACTCGAACAAAAAATGAATTATATAAAAATGGATTGCTGGGCATTAGCCGATCTAGTAATGACAATATCACCATATCGAATTAACCAATAGAATTGTACCGTACAATTGTATAGAATAGGTAACATTCAATGATTTTGATAATTATATTAATTGAGGAAATTATTAGAAATTAATATTGAAAAACAAATAATGTGTGCAGTTTCAATTATCTATTGCTCATGTTTTTTTTTTTTTTTTTTTTTTTTTTTTTTTAATTAGATTAATCAATTTATTTACTGTATACGTGATTTTTTAATTATCGTTGAATGGTTTGGGCTCCATTGCAAATCTGCACAATTCTCAATTCGAATGTTCCCGATATTTTTAACATAAAAACGTATTATTTATCGCTGTACTTTGGGACAGAATGGGACGGGAAGCAGCGGGTAGGCAGAGAACAAGTTTATAGGGCGTAAATTATAATACAAAAGTATTGAAATTTAAATGCGAGGTGGCAAAAAGAAGCAAAAATTGCGAATCAACACCATTTAAATAATATATATAATATTTCGCGAGAGATTGTATTAAAGTTCCTATCTATCACAAGTGTAAAATGCTGTTAATACTAATTATAAGTCTGGAATTCGTTTGGAGGCAATCTTACGCAAGGAGAATGAAAGGCATTAAATGCAAGCAAATATTAACTATCACACATTAAAATAAGCCTTTTGCGCTCCTGAACGATACACTTGCACTGGCCCATGGCAATGCATCATCGTAAATGCAAGTATGTAAGGCATAAGTCGTTGTGTGTTAAATACAACAGGTGCAGCCTAAGGACCCGGAGAGCGCCTACAAAGCACGACTAAAGGCTCAGGCGACGGCTCTCGTTGCCGAACAGCGACGTGCCCACGAAGCTGCCGAATACAAGGCCCACGCGGACGCAATACTGAAGCTCCAAGCCCAACAGCGAGCGCATCTTCGCGCACAGGAGGAGGCCCACCATTATGCTCTCAACTACGAAAAGAACCAGCAGCGCGCCCAAGCCCAAGCCCAGGCCATCGCCAATGCCCAGGCTCTCGCCCTCTACAAGGCCCACCAGGCGGCCCGCGCCAAGGCCCAGACCGAGGCCAAGCAAGCAGCCCGGGCCCAGGCGGAGGCACGTCGAGTCGATCCCAATAGCGCCCCTGTCGTTCAATATCTGCTACCGAATAAGGTGCCCCTACCCGCACCGGAGGTACGTTCTAGTGATCGGGCCAGCTCCTCCTGGCCGAACCCCAAGTGAAAATGACCGTCGGAGCTTAATCGAGAGCATCGGAACTTTTGAAAGAACGACTGCGAGCCTTTCGTTAATCCTCCTTACAACTTACTTGCTGGGAATAGGCGACGCTTGTTATTACGCAGAAACTTAGATTAGCCGTTTGAAGTCGAAGTCGGGAGAACTTTGGAATTTGGTCTCGCGCGCTTAGAAATTTCTTTGACGAATTGGACGGACGAGCCCTTTCGAATCTCCTCGAAACTCGTCTCTCCCCGCGCAGTGCTAATTGGACTTCGCGTCGCTAAAGCAAATTCTCATTCTCAGTCACCAATTCTTTTAATGGCGCGAATTATAATCCATCGATCTTGGCACGGGAGCCTTGATTGTGAGTACGGGGACTGGGATAAGTAATAAGTTGAGCGAATGATCGGTCGAATTTATTTAAGTCGGTTAGATGGTTAATATAATCTTATCTTGAAATACCGAGAAATGTCGTTTTTTACGCGCGACTTCGAGACCGACGTTGTTGCTGTAAATGCTTTTAATTTTACGGCTCGTTTGTCCGATATCCTGTAAAAACTGAATCTCTCGCTCGCTCCTAACTCAAAGCCACGTGCGTCATTTATTTGCATGAATATTGAAAACGCTAATGGGATATCGAACAGAGACTAAGCTCTTAAAGTAACTGCTTTGGTGGGCAGCCGCTTCTAAAGTTCATTTTATAAAAAAGTGCAAGAATGCCGTTTCATTGGAATTGCCGATCATTACAATTAAGAATATCGGATTTTGTGTCGTAGCAAAAACGAGTAACCGTTACGCTAAATTTAAAGACTTGTAAAAACAAAGTGAGCAATAAAAATGTCAGTAAGCGTTCGTGCGTCTCTATAAACAGTATATTATAAAATAGTTGAGTTAGAAAAATCTTGGACGGTATATAAGTGGAACGCGAGTAAGCCACTTTTCCTTTAAACTTCAATCGTGACGGTTTGTATTTGACGGCAGTCAAATATATTCGATACTCGGCGCGTGAAATTCCAGACAATACTCGTTATTACGTTACGTGCAAATCGAGATGGACGGGGGCGATGTGGTTAGTCGAAAAGGGTTAGGGGAAGGGGGGAGGAGATATTTACGAAAAGACTTATTGCGCGGCTAATTATTGATGATGATCAACATGGAAGAATCATACGTTACGATATTATTGTCCGAAACACGATACACAAATGAAAACGATAATGCCAATTGCACGCCCAATATAGATAATTCAAATACGTAACTATAAAATTGCCATAAAGTATTAAAATCTCATATTCAATTCAGTTATTTTATTAGAAAGTCGAAATGGCATTATTACGCGAATGATAAAATTGTCATACGCACGATAGTATTAGTATGAGTACAAGTATTAATAATTGCCGAGCCTAAATGTTACTATTTCCCGCTTGTTTGTCAAATTGCAGGAAACGGAATGCAAAAAAGTTGTTAAGTTATTTCGCAAAAATTAAAGCTATAATATCACTTATTATGGCTTTATTATATAGCAGTTAGTGCATAGAGTAAGGCCCACTCTTCTAGGAATTCGAGTTCAATTTACAGGTGGCGTTTGCTTATCTCGCCTACAGGTCTATCTGCCGAAGGCTGCCGAGGCCCTCCGCGCGCAAGCCGCCCAAGAAAAGCGACTGAAAAAGCCCCAACACATCAAGCACTTGCTGCTCGAAGAAGTGGAGCCGCAACTCCTGCAGCGCGGCCTCAAACCCGAGGAACAACAGCAGCAGCAGCAGCAACAGCATCAGCAACATCAACAACAACAACAACAACAGCAGCTCGCGTTTCTCATTGATGCGGGATACTATCGGAAGACCCACCAGCAAGGATCATCGCCATCGCAGCCTCAGGCCCAGCATCGTAGCCTCCTCAGGCAGAGCGACTATCAAGGCCTGGAGGAGGTCGAGCCCTCGGCACACTACCAGCAGTACCAACAGCAGATCGAGGCCGATAAACTCGCGCTCCTCGTGCCCGTTGAGCAGCCGGGCGCCTGAGCTCGCGACCCTCGGGCCCCGTGACTGTACTTTTGTCTCCTTCCTATTCTCCTGCAGAGATGCCCGATATACAGTATTTTATATAGACGTATGCCGCGCGGGGGCGTCCCCCGGATGGACGCGGGCGTCCCGTCTAAGCGCCTGCGAATGCTATTGTAAAATTGTAAAATGCGCGAGTCCGTTCTACGTAGCATTGGTGTATTGTTTTTCCCCGCAAGGGTGGCATATTCTATGTCTACGTATTATCCAGAAGGTCGCGCGTCTCACGCTCGACTCACCCAATGCTACCTAGACACTCCAAATTGTTATTGTCGAGTGATAATACAGGACAGCAGGGGCGAGATCAAAATTAATTAGCTGTGAAAATTGTACGAGCGCCAATATTTAATGAAACACCCCTCTGTAAATTGTCCGTACATTCTCTCCAAGTAATACGACTAAATACAATTGGATCCACTGATACATTTATTTATAATAGATGTGCGTCTATATTGACTTTGGCCTTTCTCTCGCCTCGATTATTCCAATGATAAAAACACGAAATTCAACACGCACGGCAATACGCTCACTTAGTCACGATATAATTTTTTACCACTCTCTATCACTTTTTACACGTATATTTATGTAAAAGCGCCTGAATTTTATAATTTGTAAATATTAGATTCATAATTGAACTTTCTTTATTAACCCGAATAAAGGCAAAAAAAAAAATGAATAATAAATGAAAACAGCAACGGACAACGTCAACAACAACAACAGCAAACAGCATTACAATGGCACAGTGTGCATCAGTACATCGAGATCGTCCTTTTGTACGAGTCAAGGGCTCGCGAATTTCGATGCAGCCTTATCGTCTGCGTCGAACGGCCCGTCTCGTGTATGTACATACTAGAAAGTTTAAATAAATGTATAAATGCATTTTTCCAAAGCGCCTGCGTCTCACTCTCTCACTCACTCACTCACTCACTCTCTCTCTCTCTCCCTCTCTCTCTCTCACTCTCACTCACTCACTCTCTGTCTCTCTTTATAGTCGTAGGCGTCATGATTAACCTGTGGGAATGTCGAGCGCCGTTAAAATGCGAACAAGGTGGAATACAGCGGTAGGGGACTCGCGCACGGTCCAGTCGATCAGTGATCGAAACTGACGCGGAGTATCGGGCTCGGGGTATTACAAAAGCGCGGCCGATCGCGATTTTCGCTCGATCGAAATTAGAATGATTCCGGGTCGAATGGCCGCGCGCGCGAAGTGTCATGACGCAACGGAACGAAAGTTTACACGCGCGAGCGCGAGATTACGGCTGAATCGCAAGCTTCCAATACTTTCATCTTCGAGCTGTAGCGCGAGCCCGGCCACTCCCTTTCCCAGCCCCCGTCCCTCCCATGAACGTCCTTGACTGGAAAGGTGAGGTTTACCTTTTCCTTACAAATAAACCCGCATATTATAAATATGCAGTAAGTACGCGTACTAATGAAATTACTGGGCCTCGTTTTTCCCGTCGCTCTACGATGTTATGTCAGTCGGCGAGCGATGAGGAGCGAGGTGCCAGTACGCCCGTAACGTCCTTTTACGCGCAGGATATATTGGCCACGACAACGACGACGATTACGACGACTACGATGGCCAATCGCGGAATATACGCGACGCCCCAAACGTAGCGTTAGCTCGTCGTATTCATGTGTGCGAGGCGAGGCTAGGTCGCTCGACTAGGTCGGTCATGGAAAATCCCGCGACTCCGAGAATTGGCATTTACGAAGGCTGACTGCTTCTAAAACTGACGTTTCACGTTTTTCCACCTTTCTTTCTTCACTGCTGAGATTAACATGACCTGAGATACGAGTTAATCGTGAATGATTGTCAATTATTATGGTATCTAGTCGTGGAAAAGTATCGATGATCATTGATTCGCCGATGCTTTGTGATCCAGAGGTTGACTAAATTGCATTGCTACCGAACATTTCAGCGGTGCAAACTCTGTTTCTGGCTGGCTTTTTATTTTTTTATTTTTTTTTTTTTTTTTTTTTTTTTTTTTTTTTTTTTGACGAACTCAAATTTTGATTTAATAAGATCGAAGCTCGTAAAGGCCTATATAAAATTACAAGGTAAAAAGTATACTTCTTGCGTCCTTGTCAAGGAGGTAGGCTCTAACAGCTCTAAGAATTTCACATGAAATAAAATGATTATTATAGGTGCTGAAAGAATTATAATACAAGTTTCATCGTTACATTTTTCATTATTAACTTTTAACAAGTGTATATCCACTTTTTTCTTATGCTATATTTATAGGCGAATTGCGCACGCGTATAAAACCGAATACTGCATCGAAAAAATCTTTAGCGAAATTCTCTTACTACAGCGATTAATCGAACGATTAATTGAAATTTATTTAATTTTAATGCACCCAACTGCTTCAGCAATTTTCACTCATCGTGCGCAAAAGTACCCGAAACATGCAAATCTCATTTTAAATAAAATTTACTCGCAAATTTAGTAAATTGCATCACAATTTTCTTCCGCGTCGCACTCGCGTTATCTTACTTTTTCTTCTCTAATAAAAAATTTACGCTATCTTCATCGTAGAAAAAGATTTTAAAGTGCATTCCAAATATTTACAAATACTTATTGTTCGAAACTTGCATTTAGCGCGAACATACGCAATTGTCTTCACTATGGCGTGTAAACAAACTTTTTAAAAAACGGTGTATTGACTATTGATTGAAGTAATTTCATTTAGCCATTATAATTATGTACCGACCGTACTTATGTTTATAAATAGCATTAATCTGGTGACTAGATAAAAATGAAACAGAAAAAGGGATTAAGAGGGCACATAATTTCCAACAGCTTTGCCAATTTTCTTCTATTTCATATCGAACGGATAAGGCGAGACAATCATATCATTGAATGAGATTACGAGATAATGTAAACCTCTTTTATACAGCATTTAGGATAAATTTTCAACGATCACGTGGATAGATAGTAATGATACCTTATAAACTAAATATTCAATATTTCTTATAAACAATGGGCATACATACATCCTTACGTATAATTATAAAATAGATGCAATATCTTGTGATAATTATTGCAAAATTAAGTAATTGTTTGTATTATCGAAATTCGTTGCTTATAAAACGCACTCGAATGCGGATTCAACACCTTGCATCGCATATAAAAATCGCTTGCTCGCTTAACAATCTCCATTATTTACCGACTTGAAGGTACAAAAATTATTTTTTATAGATCATTGGTTATGTAGATCATCGTGTATCGTATGCACGTACACGTACACATACATAATATACAAGCGTTCAACCGGCACGCCACGTTTGCACGCATATTCATGCATTCGGATTGTGTGTGTGTGAGAATACATTCGAGATTTTTAGTACATTAAAAGTGGACAAAAATTTGATGAACGGCAGTGAGCGCAAGAATCACGATTATGTATGGATTGTGTGTGCGTCTCGTCTTACAATATTATAAATGATCAGTCCATATATTCTGATGTAATACGTACTTAGATTACAATTACAACACATGGAAGCTCATTGAATCATTCCGATTGATAATTTGGCTTAAAAGTTTCGGCACACGTGTTACTTGGCTCATAAGAATTTTCTTATTGTCCTTGTGAAGAATCAATTTTATTTCGAAGACAAACCAAACCTTTTTTTTTTTTTTTTTTTTTTTTTTTTTTTTTTTTGTAGATTCGCATAAGCATATTGTGCACATCACATGTAAAACACGTATACTCACTGCCATGGAGTCTTGGTAAAGCTTACTGAATGACTAAGAAATGCTTAAATTGCTAATGGACGCGATGGAATACTGTGACACTGTACAGATCAATACACTTTCTGCCGCACACATAACGTTAATATAACCCGGGCGTATTGCGTGGCAAACTCCCTTGAATTCTGCAGTATTTTTATAATTCAAAAAGTTCTCCATCTTTGACGGGCAAAAATATCGGACAAGAGTGCACATTAGCATACATGCATCGACAATTAGTCCCTACCGAGCGTAATTTCAGATAATAACGACGAGTTGGTATTATGACGGTCGACACGGATTATATTATTCTGTATTATTGGAATAAGATCGTTATGAGACGGCTTGATCAATCGGTTCGTTATCGCCCGTGATAGAACACAGAGACAAAATCTAATATCTGGGATGGCTGATCGAATGATTCCAAATTGACAAGAGAAAAAAAAAGTCGTAACCATTCTAGTCGCTACTTTAGACTATCCTGGTGTTGAGCAGGAGGCGATTACTGCTTTTATTTAATCGGAAACGCACTGTCCCTACAGCCAAGAGCAATCCGACATTTAGAAAATAGAAATTGATTCAGTAGGCTTGAAATATATTTGCGCATGAGCGTACCTCGTTTCTTTAGAGGTGCGTTGCATTCACAAGAAGCGCCGTGAAGCGGGTCGAAGAATTTATGACATAATGTCAGCGAAGAGGAATTTCCTGTTGCTAATGTAGAGCTACTTTCGACGTTAATCATAAAAATTAATCCGTGGCCAAGAGGAGTTTGCAGGTTAAAGGAAGAAAATAAAGAAAATGTCAGGCGATCATTGTTGAATCGAAATTCGGCGAACCAGCAAAGTGGTTTTCCAAGGTAAGATTGAATCAAAGAAATTTTTATGTCGATACTCGTCAAATGTACGATTGATCGAGGAAGATTGGAGTTTGTTAAAACTCTTTCCTCGCGATACTAAATGGGAATAACTTTAAGATGCAGACCGTACAATTGCAGCAGAGTCGTCACTAGGCTACAGACAAAGTAATCGAGTTGAAATTCGCGAAAGTAGCCAAAGGACACGTGTCACAATTCATGACAAACAAAAGCATCTGCACAGCCTTGCCATATTTACGAGGAGCAAACATTGCGAATCGCGAGCCTTTCTCTCTATCCCCCCCCCCCCCCTCTCTCTCTCTCTCTCTCTCTCTCTCTCTCTCTCTCTCTCTCTCTCTCTCTCTCTCTCTCTCTTCATCTATCTATCTAACAATCTAACTATTGATCTATGTATCTATCTATCTAACTACGTATCTATCTATCTATCTGCCTACTCATCAATTTCGCAAATTTATTATTTTTAGGCCATTATAAATAGATGTTTCTGGACATTATATTCTGATTTGTTTTATTGGTCATCATAGAGAATAATAATTAAGAATAAAATTGTATTTGCTTTATATACTAAACTTTCATAGTGTTATTTTCGTTCGTTCAAGAACTCTATCCGAGATCAAACAACTCCAATGATCGGCAATCATATTAAACGAATAATTTTAGACGAGCGCAAACAATGTGTCCAAAACAAAATACAAAACAAAAAAGTTACTTAAAAGTATAACCAACTAAGATATATATTAAAGAATTGACTTTGTTTAAAAATGATGATTCTCTTAGGGGACTTGATTAGCCATTGTGATACATATGATGAAATAATTCAATCTTACAGTTTACTCACACCCAAGAGAAAGATAAATAGCGTGAATATAGGTTCCTTAATTAGGACTCTTATATATTTATTTATTACTAGACGTCTTCCCTACAGTAAAATTATAAAGCTGACTATAGAAAAATCAATGCAATCGTCAATGATGTTCTAATTGTACAACTGTCACTGATAATCCGATTAGAATTTAACCGAACAAATAAATTTCAAGAGTCGGCCACTATCGATATTAGTAATAAATAGCTACCTTAGTTGCGCCTCATCTTCAACATCAAAAAGAGAAATCGATTTGGATTTTTAGCATCTCTAACAATTTTAACGATTATAGTAGATTGCGAACAGCAATTACTCGTACAAAAGAATTATGATGATCAATATTGTAATAAAAAAAATATCAAACAATTCAGAATATAGATTAAAAATGTTCCTTTTACTTTGAGCGACAGTACAAATATAATATTTATATTTGAAATAAATATATTGTAGAAGCGCATCGAATTACTTAACAGTCGTGTAAGTAAATTGAGTGAAAAAACGACTTGGTCACCTCGAGGTTCGCTAAGTAAATCGAAAAATATGTAGAAACATGAAAGCCGAGCATAATCCTGTAATACACGCGTATATGCAATGCGATCCGGGAGGATATAGATATCATAAGGCTAGGTCGGACGTTAATATATAGGAAAAGTTCGATGTCAAATACATAAGAAAATAAAGCAGCTAATTATGCAAAGGACGAATATACAAAATAATCGTCAGAGGTCGTTCTAAATGTTTATAAGAAATCGAATGATTATATATTCATTTAGTGAACGAGGGAACGAAGGGCAAAAACATTGGACTGAATTAGCAATATGAACAAACGAATGGTATTATATTAAATCTTTCCGTAAGCAGAGTAATTATTATAAGGCAAATTATAATAACAAATGCAAAGGAGCAAAGTACATTTCTCTTGCAAGTAGCATAGACGAACGAACGAAAAAATTAACGATAAAAATGCACACAAAAATAATTGCCTTAATTACAGAATTAATAAGAAAATTCACTTTAATAATATTGATAATATTAAATGACAATAATGATAATGATAACGATAATAACAATAATAATAATAATGATGATGATAGCGATTGTAATAATAATAATAATAATAATAATAATAATAATAATAATAATTAATAATAATTAATAATAATGATGATTATGACTATGATGATGATGATGATGATGATGATGATGATGATGATGATGATGAAGATGATAATAATAATAATAATAATAATAATAAGAATAATAATAACAGTGCGTGTATGAACAAATAGCAGTCGTATTAATGAGAATGATTGGAGTCTAAATTATAATTAATCATTAAATTGAAATAATTCAGATGACGAATTCGGAATATACATATTGGAAGTTGGAATGAAGAAAAGCAAGTGGAAATAATCATTATATAGCTTATCGTCGAATCATCGTTGTAACAAATGTGCATCATCCATTCGATCGTACATTCCTGGCGATCTCGCAATTAATTCCATGCTGACCGACGACTACTACTACTACTACATTTCTCAATTATTAAAAATATCGCCTCGATAATGTAGCAAGCACTCGACATAGCAAACTCAACAGTCAGGTACGCGTTCCTTCAGATCTAAGAGCAATCTTGGAGGATCTCCTGGAGCTTAGCGACGATTTGAGCGAACGTGGGCCGCTCCCGTGGATCGTACGACCAGCATTGGACCTGAAGTTCCTGGAGCGCTGGTGGCGCAGCCTTATGCGGCGTCCAGGTCAGAGCTTGGCTCTTTAACTGGGCGAGGACAGAGTCGTCATTGAGCTTTTTAAAGGGCAATTCACCCTGGTGGAATATTTCCCACATTAGGCAGGAGTACGAGTAAACGTCGCTCTTGGTCGAGTACTCATCCTCGAATACGGCTTCCTTGGGCATCCAGCGCAACGGGATCACTTGGTTTCTGTGCTTCGTGTATTCTTGCTGGTGCGGCTCCTTCGTCATGCACGCCAACGATATTTTCACGGTCAAGCTGCTGGAGATGAAACAATTGCGCGCTGCAACGTCTTTATGGACAAGCCGGTGATCCGATATATGTTTCAGTCCCAGAGCAGCCTACAAGAAATTGTTAATTTATTTATTTTGGTTTTTTTTTCTGTTTTTGGTTTGTTTGTTGTTGTATTGTTTAATTTAAATCCCAGATAATTATATTAAGTTTGGATGTTACGTGTATGAACAAATTATAAATAAATTCATCTATTAGGGTAGCGCGCATAATTCTTATGCGCCTTGTTCTATGGATCTAAATCTATACGATACGCGTGTGATCATTGATATTGATTAATATTAAATTTTCGACCAATCTACAAAATATCGTTGCAAATTATAAATTATTCTATGTACTGAAAATTCGATCGCGATCCAGTCTCCTATTAATATGTCAGTATATTAAAAAAAAAAAAACAAAAAAAAAAAAAACGATAGATATTGACAATATAATGAATGATACATTGAGCTTCCCTCTCATCCTCCCGTCCCCTTCGTCACACCACTCTGCACTGCACTAATTAATTTCTATTTAATTATCCGTTGCTCTCCATCATTATTCCTCGTTATGTATTTGCTACCTACCCCATCACAACCACCCAACCCTTCCACTACTTTATTAATGCTTATGGTTTACGCTTTCTTGTTCGCAGGGCCCTCTCCCTACGATAAAATATAATGTCGTATTTTTTGCAAACCTGATTAGCAAGAGAGAGAATCTGAGCGACGGCCAGTTGAGGGGCGCGTGGCTTCCCAGTATCCGAGCCACTCGAATTGTCCTTAGCCCGCGAAGCCAGCAGGAACTGCTTTAAATCTCCCCAATCGGTGTACTCGATTATCATGTAGTCGGGCTCCCCCTCGCGGCACAGACCAATCAGCTTCGCAATATTCTCGTGATTCAACTTGTGCAGTAAGTCTAGATGGCGCTTTATGTCCTGTAGCACGTTCTCGTCCTTTGTGTTGCTCAGGGTTTTCACCATCGCGAGGCTTTCCTTCGCCGTCGTACCGTCCTCGTCGCTGTTCGGCCGATACTTGCACGAGAAAATCTCGCCAAATTCGCCCCGACCGAGGGGTTTGAGGTCGTGAAGAAGCGCCCGACTCACCGTAAGCTTGTCGTAGCTGCATTTGGATTTTTTCGATTGATTACTGTTAACACTGTGCGCCGTGTCGGTGCCGTCGCTTTTGTGCGACTCCCGGTTCTCCTTCTTCTTCTGCTTGGCCGCCGAATTGGCACTGTTCGCCTTCACCGTCGTTTCCCGAAGCTCGCATTGCTCTTCCTGGACCTCCGGATTATCGCACTTTTCTGAATGAAAAATATTTACAATCACATAATAATACACTTCACATTTTGATTACACTATTATTAGGGAATAATATATTCTAACAATCGCAGCCGATTAATATGGATGTTATAGGGCATTGTTTTAAATGGCCGTGACCTTTTTCATCGAATAAGGCGTTACCTTGGCCATCGGTTTGCTCCTGAAGGTATCTTTGCTTTCTCCTTCGTCGACGATAACGACAATATAGCATCAATCCGACGACGAGGACCATGTAGGCTGCAGCCGCACCTAGGGTAATTATGACCGTCTTGGTCATCATAGATCCATCGTCGGCTGCATCGAAATCCAGATCCGAGCGATACCCATCAACGGCTACAATTCAATTTCATGTTCAAATATTAAGTGAAGATGATCGGCGTATCAAAGAAGCAGCAGTTAAAAGCAACAATCGCAATTAAAGTATAATGGCCTGCTACTGTGCTATAAGCAATAATAAATATTAATAGGCCATTAATACACTGTGGGATTTTTATAAAATGTGGGATGAATTTAACGTAGGGCAAAAATGAGATGGGAATGGATGAGATTAAACCGAGAGTGCGTTACGCTCGAAGAATAGAAATTGCCAGCGAGTCTCGGCAAAATGGCTTAATCGTGTTCGTAAGATATAATGCAGAGTGAGTATTAATGCCGAAAGAATAGGATGCGAAAGAGTCCATAAAAAGCCCGACAAAGATGCGGCGTATTAGAGTCCCGCTGGACGATGTTGGTATTATTGAGAAAACGTGTCAGTACCCTTAACGCTGAGATGGACTTCCTCCCGTTTCAAACCGCCGCTATTTCCCGCGGTGCAGCCGTATTTACCCTCATCACTCAGGTATACCTCCTTGATATAGAGGCTGCCATTAGCCATAACAAGAAATCGATCCCCATTCAGGTTGTTCATTTGTGAATCCTTGTCCCATTTGATGGCTGGCTTCGGATCGCCTTCCGCCGCGCAGTGCAATAGGACAGCGAGGCCCTCGATCGCCGAGACGTTTTCCGGCTTAACGGTGAATTTGGGGGCAACTGCAACAGCCAAGATGAAGAAGAACAAAAAAAAAAAAAAAAAAAAAAAAAAAAAAAAAAAAAAAGATGAAAAAGATAGAAGATAAATAGATGAGAAAAGGAGGAAGAAGATATAAAGAAAAAGCAAGAAACAAACAATCGATGTTTGCCTCGGTATACGTATATACATATATATATATATATATATATATATATATATGCGCGGGAGATACATTCGAGCGAAATTAAGGATGTGGAAGGTGCGGGACTGGCTTTTTCCACACAAACGAACTCACTGACAACGTCGATCTTTATCGTATGGTTGATTTGACCCTGGCTATTGACGGCAACGCATGTGTAATTGCCCTTATCCTCCTCGAGGACGCCGCTGAAGTGCAGCGTGCCATTCAACTCCTGCACGTGCTTGGGAAAGTGTTTGGCGCCATTCTTGTACCATTTGAAAGTTGGCGGAGTCGAACCCTGAGCCTTGCAGGATACCTACGCACCATTCAAATTATGGCCAATTATTTCGACTAGTTTAAAACCAACACCGGCATTCATATTATTTTCAAAGAAGACCTTCCCGAATGTTACGAGATCAGATTGCGGCTGGCCATCTTTATTCACCACTTAGCTTTCTCTCTCTCTCTCTCTCTCTCTCTCTCTGTCTCTCTGTCTCTCTCTCTCTCTCTCTCTGTCTGTCTGTCTGTGTCTCTCTACTCTCAATAGCTCTTTCTCGTAAACAAAACAACATATATACATATATATATATATATGCAGAATATAAAAAGTATAATTTCTCGAGTGTATCATTAAGGGGGAAAGTTGTAAGAGTGTGCAATTATATTTGATATGGTTTTAATAATTATAAATATACATATATATATATATATATATATATATATATATATATATATATATATGTAGACATTTTTTATTTTTGAGCAAAATTTTCTTCTTTCATCGAAACGAAAATCATAAAAATTGAAATACGTTTCGTGGGCAATCAGTCGTGCTTTTTAAATGAAGATTTTAAGGATTTACATAGGGGTTGGCGTTTGAGCTGATTTATAAGGGAGAAAAAATTAATCCAGACCTCAGCTCGTAACGCTCATGGACGGGAAAGGAGCCCGTGATTTTCAGGTTGTGACTATAAACATTTCATAACCCAATAACGTTACCCGCTTTACGATACTAATCAATCGTTTCATCCAGTATTATCCAGGATGGAGTGCTCGTCAAAACGAGTTTCATTCTTTATTTTGGAAAAAAAGAAAGAGAAAAATGAAAGAAAGAAAGAAACAAAACAAAAACACAAGGATAGGGAAGCCTTTATATATATATAGTGTCCAGGCTTTCTTCGGATCTTCAAAGCGAATGGAAATGTTTAAGCAAAGCTGCCGAGCAAATGCTCGAATCCCAAGTGCCGAGTCAATAATGAATCTGGTGGGAAGCGGGTGTCGTCGAACGAGTAATTCCCCATTACCGTGGACGAACAGCAGTAGCAGCAGCAGCAGCAGCAGCAGCCGCGGCAACAACAACAACAGCAACAGCAACAACAACAACAACAACAGCAGCAGCAGCAGCAGCAGCAACAACATAAGCAAGAGTGGTAGGAAGAGCAGCTTTTGTCGATTGTTCTGCGAATCGATTTGGCGGCTCGACGAAGCGGCAGCTAGCTAGTCGTGACAGACCGACCGGACGACCATTCAACCTCGCCTCCGCTATTGCGTTTACGAGCGGCGAGCGGCCCGTGTGGAGAGGCCTGGGCTATTGTGCGTGAAACAAGAGCAGGCCGCGGAAGAAAAGCGGGCGGATTTGGCAGGGGTGGTAGAGACGGTTTAGTGGGTGGCGGGAGAGATTAACCGACCTTGGCGGTGGAGTTGAACTCGAGGCGCCTGTTGACGGGTGGGGGCGAGAACTTGAGCTTCTCCCTGACGGACAGCGCGGCGGGCGGCGACCTGAGGGGTGGGAAGCCCTCGGTGGTGACCTCGCACGCGTAGCTGCCCCTGTCGCCCAGCTGGACGTTTCTGAAGAGGAGGCTCGAGTTGCCAATGTGCTCGATGACGCGGTATCGCAGCGGTCCCCCCGCCGCCTCCTTCAGCGGCTCGCCGTCCTTGAGCCAGCGGCTATGCGTTACCGGCGGCCCCATTCCCCGGAAGCCGCAGCTCAAGCTCGCAGACTCGTCCTCCATAGCGGTTACGGGTTCGGGGGGCCCGCGCATCTCCGCCGGCCCTGCAAGAGCAGCCCAAAATTACTCGGCCGCGCCCAAGTAATAGCCGGGACGATGGGATTATGCAGCTGAATGCTGTGTCGGCCGGGCCTCGCTACTTTATAACGTCGCAGGAGCTTTTACGGGGAAGCGGCGGGACGCTCGTAATTACGGGGCGACTCTGCCGCCTCGGACGGCTGGTGCATTTGCCGCCAATATCCGATTGGCCGCTGCGGTTTTCGGCTCTATTGGCCGTGGGAGGGTGAGAGCGTGCGAATGACGGCGGGGTCCGCGTAATGTGGTGAGGTGGGTAGAGGTGGGGGGAGGGGGAGAAAGAGGAGGGTGTCTGTCTACCAGATCTGGCACTCACAGGAAACGATGATCTGCACGCTCATCTCCGTGGAGCCGAGCATGTTCTCGGCGACGCAGGTGTAGTTGCCGTGGTCGACATCCCGCCGTGCCTTCGCCACAATGAGGGTGTCGTCCTGGACGCGCACCGGGCCGGAGTCGCTGACGATGCGGCCCTGGGGGTCTCGCCAGAAGAGCTTCGGGCTCGGGAGACCGCCCGGGGCAAGGCAGCTTATCTGGAGCTCCTGGTTCTCGCCTACGACCGCCATCCCATTGGCCAGCGGCGGCTCGAACGACGCCACCGAGAGATTCTTCAGGTCTGCAAGCAAATTAAGCGCGGCGTCTTGACAATGGGCGGCTTTGGGCCGGGACAGCGAGGGGCCGGGCCACGCTCGATACCGATCGCGTTTAAGCACCCGCTGGGCAACGCACAAGGCGATAATGATATTGTGCGGGGGACATTTAGCACGAAATGCCCGACTATATTATCATTGCGTAAAAATTAGCGCGTCATCGACGCTTTTGGAAAAGCCATTCCTCCTTCCCTCGCTTACCTCTTCCCCCTTCACCCTCCCCCAACCCCGTCCACCGACCTTACTCTACCGCGAAACCCTTTACCACCATCTTCCGACGTTTGACTACCACTGCCACCGTCGCTTCTAGACTTCCTCATCACGCCCACCCGGCACTTCCCTCATCCTAAATGCAAAATAATTTTCCGCGTATCAACGTTCTCGTAATTTTCCTTCTTTACACGCCACTAAAGTTCCGCGCTTTTGTTGCGCCAAAGCTTTGACGATTATACACAGCGCGCTAATTCGCGTGAACCATTTTGCGAGAGGTTCTTGGAAGGAGGTCGGGGGGGGGGGGGGATAGGGGAAAGGCGGGATTAATTGAAAGCAAACCGCGCGCGAGTATGTTGGTTTCGCGGTTTGTTTGTTTGTACGTGGAAAGCGTTTAGCGGAGGAATAATAGCGTGGGATCATCGTGTACTCACGGCACTCAAAACCCAACTCCACGAGCTTTATGAGAGCGCGCGAATGCTCTGGTGCACTTGTTATGAGCAACTAATAAAATTATTAGCCTACAACGTCATCATCGATGCTATCCGTAGCTAAGACACTTAGTTACTCGACTTCGACGTTCCACGAAGCCTTGTTTATTAAATTCTCGTTCAACAAGTAGTTTAAGGATTCGAGCGACGGGCACACGGCGTTAATGAAAATTACAAATACGCCGTGTCACCGGTCTATTTACCGATCGACGATTCTAATTAAAAGCCGCTAAAGTAAGCTTCCCAGGGCAGGGGACAGCTAATTGGTTAGAGATAATAAAGGGTCGTTACACTCACAGGCGATCTCGAGCTCAGCGGCGTACACCTGGACACTGCCGGACCTCTCGCCGTGGCAGGAGTAGAAGCCTTTGCTCCGCTCGTCGGCTCTGCGAATAACGAGGGTCCCGTTCCCGAAGACGGTGCGCTCGTCGTCGGACTCGATGGGGCCCATATCCTCGAAGTACCAGCGCAGGCTGTCCGCGCTGTCGTAAACGCAACTGAAGCTAGCGGACTCACCCCGGCGCACAATCACGCTTTGGGGCACGAGCTTTATCGTCGCGGTTTCGTTGCTCGGTACGATCAGGGCGAGGCTGCGTGCCATCGAGGAGGCCCCGGCGCTGTTACGCGCCAGGCATCTGTAGATCCCATTGTCCTTCGGACTCGACTCCTCGATTACCAGGAGATTCCGTCTCATCTCCACTCGATTGCTCGCCGCCACGCTCTTCGTGTTCCTAATGGACGTGACGCTCAGTTATGAATCACTTCTGGTTTTGGGAATCGCGCGACAAGCGGAGAAGGGGCTTAATAGCGGCTTAATTTTTCAAAAGTGTGGCTTTTGAGGGGGAAACAAATTTTTGTGTGAGAAAACTATTGCGGAGTAAAGATTAGAAAAAAGGCTCGCCGGGCTCGTTGTTCGCTTGGCAAGAAAATCGCCGGTAAAAATTATGACTAAGATATCATAAATTCGAGTTCGATATATGGCTATTGCTCGTCCAAAATATCGTAACTCTAGGATAACCGAGTCGTCGCACTGTATTCATAATATTTTTTATTCATCACAAATATTTATTATATTTCGTTTTGTTTTATTAATGTTATTAAAGTAGCGCGATCACATGCAAGAAATATACGTCTAACTTTTCGATTGGCTATACGATCATGTTTTTAAAGTGAGCATGTTTTTGTTATAAAGTGCTATGATTATTTAATCGTTAAAGACAATATCTTGTTATGTTAAGGGGGAGAAACAAACTTGGATGGCCAAACTGTATAGGATTATAATTTTTTTTTCTTTTATCAAACAATGAAGTAGGACTGAAAACATTAAAGTTACGGTTAGAAGTAGAAATCCATGTCATTGTGAATCGCTTCCGCATTTAACATGCAAATAAAATCACCGTCAACACATGTACGACGACTATATCGTACTATCTCGATAAATATTAATAATAATATTAATAATCACGATTAATATAATATATAATGTGCACTGTATGATAAATAGCGATCTAATGTACTATGATATAAATTGTTGTCTATTAACCTATCAATTTCTAAATTCGATAAAATTTTATATCGATCGAAGACATTTTATAACTGTCGTATGGATTTATAATGCCGTAAACGATACATTTTGTATTTAGACAAAAATTCATCAATATAATATGAGACCCATTAATCTTACGATTATTGCGATTGTTTAAGATGATTTCTTTTCTTTGGTGCAACAACTACAGCACTACGTTCAAAGTATAAGAAAATAAAACAAAACGATTAATCACTCGCGTCCCATAATAATATTAAATAGAACTTTCTATATAAGCACCGAATGAAAGTATCCTTTCATTCTTTACACTCGCGAAACCGGAAGCCTAGATTTGTTTTTCATCGTCATCGCTTGTATTTATTAATTGAACGTTCCTGCATTTCTCAACGCAAAAACGTTCATATAAGTATTCTGTAATATACTGTAATTAACGGTAAAACGATTAAAAGAATGCTGTCAACATGGTTCCTCGTTAAATTTAATACGCAATTTAATATTGTGCGGATTTAATTAAACAACATGATGATATAATATGATGAAAATTTGAATTTAAACTTATCCTTTCGACCAAATTCCTACTATTACTGAAAAAAAAAAAAAAAAAAAAAATTTAAAAAACTTATTAGCAATTTTTAACAAAGTCTAGTATTAGGAAGATGTATTATTGTTAATGATATTTTTTATTATACTCGATCCATGGAATTGCAAAAATTATGAGGACACGATTAATTTCGCGGCAACGATGAATTAAAGGGTTTAAAATTTAAACAAACACCATTGGTCCTCATTATTTTATCAGACGGTGTTATCGTCAATCGAGCAATGCTAGCAAGCAAAGACGTATATTTAATTATTGCGGATAATAAATAAATCTCCGATATTACCATAACAAACATTAATTGTAGTTTCTTAATGTTCACGAGATATCCACGAACGGAGTACGTAAAAGCTTTTTTTTTTCTTTTTTCTTGTTTTTTTATGTATTTATTGTATTTATTGTAAGGACCGCATTTTCTTTTGCTATTGCTAGTACTACGAACTGTATTATGCGTATAGAGAGAATTTTTCGAAAAATAGCTAACCGTAATTTGATATAAATATCGAACGCACTCACTCGTTAACAAATTTTGTTTTTAAAGAAGCTTGCTTCATCCGCTGCGCCATTCTTATTGATCTCATGGAGAAATTCTCAGGGAAAAGGTACGTTTAATTAAACAATAAAAACGCCTTATCTTCGTGCATTCGGGTAATTCGTTTGTAAAAAAAAAAAAAAAAAAAAAAAAAAAAAAAAAAAAACAGAACAGAAAACACTAAAGAAACGCACGATTCAGAAGTAAAAGGGAGAATGAAACGGTCGCATCAACAATTCCATAACATTGGAATAGGAGAAGCGCCAACCTACAAGGCAGACGACCCTCGAAAACCGACGAAACCCAACGCGTTATCCACTATTGCCACCGACTTATTACACAACAGCGATAAAATCACTGCGAGACGGGCAATTTTCTCACTCCAAGCCAATAATAGATGCCCTTACCTGAACCACTCGTACTTGAGATCACCGGAGCCATCAACATGACAGCGCAGCTCGACCTTGCCTCCGGCGCGGATGAGCGGTGCCAGTTTCGGCAGCTGTAGTTGAACGCTCGCCTCGCTGATCCCTGTAATCGATCAGAATCGTTTTCTTAAAGAACCATCGGCCACACGGACCTTTCCTCCATACACGCTCCATTGATTATCCCTCCATCCACCTCGCCGTTCCAACCACTTGCTCCCGTCTCTCTTTTCCTCTCCGGCATTCTTATATCTCGTAATAAAGCGTATAATTTACATTTAAATTGCAGTCACTTTGGCTTCAAGAGATAGATAGAGATAGATAGAGATAGAGATAGATAGATAGATAGATAGATAGATAGATAGATAGATAGATAGATAGAGAGAGAGAGAGAGAGAGAGAGAGAGAGAGAGAGAGAGAGCTGCTATATTATTTGGCCGTTTACAAAGATTTCATATTCCCATTCGGAAAGGCCGAGGAACCGCTAAGAAATAGCGGCCTCGTCATACGTCCTCTTCCTCTTGTTTGTTGCGAGAAAATTAAATCATCCGAGGTGTCTTCGATTTGGATTGGGAAATTTCACGATACCGTTTCCTGTTCATTTTCAAGAAAAATGATAAGAAAGAAGGAAAAGAAATAAAGACGAGGTAGAGAGGTTTGTGGTGACGAGGGCCAGATGGGAGGAGGACGCAAGGATAGAGGAGCTTAAATAAGAAAAAAAAACGAATAACCATTTTCCATGGACAATCAGACAATCTATGTCAATAACGAATAAATGCGATACGATTTCCAATGGAGAATAAGGATAAAACGTTATTATTGTCCCCAGCTTTGCCCACCGCTTTATTTACCATCGTACTCGATAATACAAAAGCTGATAAAAAGGAATAAAAATGAAAATGTTAAGGGAATACTTTTTCGAGCATCGAGTTAATGCGGCACAATATGAAGTTTAAACTGCACGCTACGGGCACCCGAGCGAGTATCAACGCGCCTACGGGGACACAAGAATGGCGAATGACGCAACCAGCTCATCGATAAGCATCGTCTTCCTTTTGATAAAGCAAATAATCGACGAGTCGCACGCACGGGGCGCAACTGAATAACGAAGAAGGGCAATGCTAGATCGAAATCTTCCCCCTTACCTTCGGCCCTCGCAATTAAATCCCCGGATTACAAATCTTATCTCGAGCGGTGGTTCGCTCGTTAGCATCGAAATCAACGTCGATGGGGACACGCCAATTTATTGAAGTTACGAAAGCCCCGTGTAATGAGATATGCACCGATCGATCGCAGCACAATGGCGCGATGCGCCTTCTTCGAAGCTTTAACCATTCCCTGGCGCTACGTTCACGAACGAAAGTCACTCGCCGATCCTTTCTTAATGGAGAGATGGCGGCCCCCTGATTTACCACCGACGTATCCCGGCATTTAATTTCACAAAGGACTCGGCACTCGCTCGCTTACCTTTGGAAACGTGATTATTGATGGTGAACGATGAGCTTTGGTGAGGAGCGGGCGGGCGGTTGGGCGGTTGGGCGGGTGGGTGGGTAGGTGGGGGGGGGTGTAGCAGGGACCCTAACATAAGCGTTGATCAATCAGCTCATTGTGCGATCGATCATCTGCTCCACCCAATAACCATGCAATTTCTTTGGCTAATTGTAATGCCGAGACTGGACGTGAACAGACATTTGGTGACATTTGAAGACATTATGCATACGACTTGCATGGAGTGGCGCAATCGCTTGGTTAATAGATTAGCCGATAATGCCCAGCGCGACATCGTTTGCGCCCATTTAATCCATAATCCGAGCTGTGAAATATGTAAAGCCCGAGTGCTGCGAGACCAAGAAGTCACTCTTCATTAGTATTTGATCAACTAAGTGGAAGAGCGCCAAGTTTTACTTTATCCGCATCCTCGGGGGCATTATTGTTTCAGTTCAACGTGGCATTTATAACGACGTGTTTAGGAGTGCGAAAGACAGACGAGAGGATGCATTAAAGACAAAGCTGAATAGCATATAGGATAATGGAGGTTTTAGCAAAAAGAGGCCGTGGTCGAGGCAACCGAGGATGAGAGGAGGCATGGGAAAGGCTCCGCTGCTCTTTGTCAGCAAGCAGCCTCTCCTTCCGGCCGCGGATCGAGGCATTTCCGCGGCATATTTGTTTTCATTGTCGTCGGGTAGGGCGCGATTATAAAGTGTCGTCGAGATGCGGTGAGATGGAAGGAGGCGAGATAGGAGGCAGTCAAGAAGCTTGGAGAATCGCGCGGCCGCGATCCCTGAAAAGCTTCGGGCGTTCCGTAAACCTCGAGAGATCAAAGGCGGTGGCCCGACCCACTTACCTCTCCTCACCGTTATTGTCCTCATTATTCATACCTCAATCCTCCGTCCTTTCCCAGCCACGACCATTTCTCACGCGCTTTCTGAGCCTAGGGTGAATGAATCAATCGCTCCTCGTTCTTTGCGAGGAGAAGTCATATTCGACGCGGCGACGCGTCACCGACTCGCCGAGTAATCGTCCGTCCGAAGACGCTCGGCTCGAGTCACGAGCACTACGAGTACTACGACGGTCTCGTATCGGAGACGAGCGTTGCCATGGTAATGAAAGGTTCACTCCCTCTCACACTATCTCTCTCAGAGTATTTCCGCGCGTGTACACCGGTTCTTGGAGAGGGAGAGAGAGAGAGAGAGAGAGAGAGAGAGAGAGAGAGAGAGAGAGAGAGAGGCAAAAAGGAAAGAGCGGTCGATGCAAACGCACCATAAACTTTTATGATTCTATGGGAGCAACATACGTAAACCCCGTCAGAAGGGTGGATAAGGAAAGTCGTAGCGTTGCAATGCTGACGCAGCAGCGCCTGGTCGTTAATCGAGTAATTGCGTCCTGGTCCAGGGGCCGTAGCACACCCTGAGGCCTCTGCGACACAGCTTTCACATTTTTTTAAAGGGGATGTCACGGCGCAACGATCGCGATCGCGAAAAGCAAGTCTGCGCGAAAAGGGGGAACACGCGCCACTCCATCTCGCGTCTTCCCTTCACTTACCACAAGTGAACCCCTCCCCCTCTGCTGCTAATGCCGAATTTCGCTCTCACACTCTTACTCATCCCCCCTCCCCCCTTCCCGCCACAATCTCACTCTCATTCGATATCTCTTTCTCTCTCTCTCTCTCTCTCTCTCTCTCTCTCTCACACACACCCTCGGTGCTTTTCTTCCTCCAGCCCTCCTTGCCCACTCGACAATGGTTCAGCTCTGCGTGTCTCGCGTATAAATGTAAGAGGAAAAAAAACAAAATATTCGTCCCCTCGGAGCAGCAGCTCACATTCACGTTCAATGGGATGTACTTCGGTTTTCGTGTTTTGCCTTTTGTTTTTCTCAACTCTCTCTGTCTCTCTCTCTCTCTCTCTCTCTCTCTCTCTCTCTCTCTCTATCTATCTATATATCTATCTATCTATCTATCTATCTATATATATATATATATATATATATATATATATATATATATATATCTCCCCACGTCCCATACACTATGGTCCTTCTGTCAACTTTCCTTTTCAATTGGCTAGCCGTGCGCTATGCCATGCCTTAAAGTTTCTATAATAAGCTTAATTAGCGAAGCTCGGGCTATTTATGGAATATAAATCCAAGCGTACCGTAAAATTTCGAGCTTATTGGTGTTCTTAGCGTCATAAATGGTTTTTAAAATAAATCTCCGCTTTATTTTAAAAAAATTACGCTCGTTTATCAACAGACAGTTGTTGAAAGCCCGGTGGGATAAGCAAACACAAACGTTGACACGAGCGGTGACTATTTTTATACAAAACTCATAACATGTAGCCAGACGTAAACGAGAAACCATAGGCGTAAACGATCCAATAGCGAGACAAACTTGTATCTTGACTTAAGCATTGTATACATGTTTCACAATATAGTCATGAAAATGACAAAATTTTCACTTTACTTTCTAAAATACATTCGAAAGTTATGCGAATATTTAAGTTTTCTGCGTTGTAATTTAAAGGCTTCACACTTACAACCATGAAGACTACTTGTTTTACTAAAAATATCACTTGCTTTACTAGAAATAGCACAATGATCGAATGATAATGATTAATAAGAAAAAATTAAAGATCTATGATTACCCAGTCTGATAATGAAATAGCAGTTGCGTGGATAATCATAATCGCATTTACGACATTGCATTTTAAACGACAAATTTTTCACTTTAATTCCTACATAACTATATTTGTTGAATAAACGGTCGATATGCGTACTTAAGAGTCAATTATTTATAAATATCATAAATAAAAATAAAATGGAAATGTAAAAGGGATTTTAGCACATAAATTACAGTAAAGAGCCAATGAATAATAATGCATATATGCGCGTTGTGTAGGAATAAACGATTGCTTCGGTATAATTCTGAAGAGTATCAATTAACTTAAATACACTTGCATTTATTTTTAAGAAGATATACACGGCTTTACTCAATAGCCCGATCGATTTGTTTCACTAATCGTAGATAAAAAGTTCCCCAAACTTTCTGGTTACTGATCCGATTAGGTATAGGATCTCTAATACATTTCTAATACATATACACAACAGACTGAATACACTCATTAGAGTTTATTCCAGCGTTATCCCCAATTTGTGAAGTGAGTTTGGATACTTTGCTACTCGATTCGTATCAGAGCAATGCAGTGATATGTAGTTTGTATTATATGATATACCCCTAATAAGTCTTATCCCCTCTTTTGAATACCCGTTCGCACGCAACCGATCCACATCTATTTCGAGCATTAAAAAAAAATCGTTTTGTTAAAAAGGGGTATTCGTTTAAGAATCTCACTGCTTATGACATTGAATTTTCAATAGGCAATTATTTCAACCACGTGACAAAAATTTTTCATCAAATTTTTCAAACCATCACTCAATTAAGATGGATTTAATCTATAATTTTACTTTTTTTTTCATTCCGTATATATATATATATATATATATATATATATATATATACTCTCTCTCTCTCTCTCTCTCTCTCTCTCTCTGTGTGTGTGTGTGCGCGCGCGCGCGCGCGTGTGCGTGTGTGTATCAATAAACATTTAATTGATATATGCATCTATCAGATATAATGTTAAATCTATGTAATAAACATAATTGTTTACTTGAGTCTAGAGTTTTTAAGTGACTCTTTTGTCATTACAAGTTCATTATTCATTTGAATTTATTTAATTCCTTAAACTATGTGTATTATTTATAACGTTTCCATAAATTCATTAATAAAAATTTGTTAAATCAAAATTTTCACTTTTTCAACTTGCTGTTTTATTTATTTATTAATTTTTTTTTTCTACAATATAAATATTCTAATGAAAAAAAAAAAATGAGCAAACGTAGAGGGATGTAGGATGGGAATTTAATTAATTTATACGTATACTGAAGATTTTTAAGAATAAAATTCATTTTAAAATTCAAATTAACGAGTCGAAGGGAGTCCGAGGTCATAGTATATCCAGAAAAATTAAATTCTCCTCATTGTTTTTCACCGAAGATGTTTGTTTTTTTTTTTTTTTATTTTTATACTCACGCTTTTTATGAACATTCATGTATAATTTAAGATCCATGCTACCATACCACATACAAGAGGTAATAAAGGCCGGGTAATTTATAAGGAATTGCGAAGGGGTTAAACTGCCTATTTATAACAAAATATTTTAATTCCTTTGTGTTGGGCGTAATATATAGTCCGCTAAGGGCTTCTAAGAGGACTAATTTTAAATTACATATTAGTATAACATCATTACTATAGGGATTATGAAGATATTACGATTTATATGAAGATTGCACGACAAGCGCAATAGGTTGAGATAATCGAAGTAATAGAATCATAGATTTTATGAATTTTTCCGACGCTTGTTAAAATTGCTTGTCGTAATTACGCAATGCCTAGTAAACATTTCCAACGGGATATTGTTTTGTGCATATTGTATGAGTGTATGGGTGTTCATTAGGACCAGATAACCGGTTGATTGAGTATTGTTAATTTGTTAATTAAAGTGACGGTTAAAATAAGCTTTAAAAAGGAAATTGCCTAACAATGTCGCTTTAACGCTAATTAACGCTAATCCATAAATATTAATAAGGCAAATTAATAATTATAATTGTTTCTTTAAGAATCGCGAATGATTGTACTAAGAGCAGCACAAACGTTTAGATAAAGTTTATCGAATCAATATATTACTGTAAACGTGACGGTTAACTTTAAACAAATGCCCGAAACTTCGAGATTATACTTTACGATTATTAACGATAACAAATGATATAAAAGAGGAATTGCCATCGAACCTATGTGAAAATTATATCACAATGGCATTAGCATTTTATGAAAGAAGTCTATTCTACATGGTAATAACTAATATCTCATTCTATAAACGATCACGGTATTTCGAAATTTTCATAATATTGCTCGATCGTGACAATTATTCGTTTGCCGTTTAATCGTCGTAGTCGAAAATTTATTTAATCGTTGTGCATAATATCGCTTTGTAACTGTAAAGAGGCGAGTAAATAAGCGTGACTCTACAAGGCCATCGGGCACTTCTTATTATCTTTTAGCTTTCAAAGGGCAAATTTTTAAAGAAAATGTAGCCGCTCCATTGGGAGAAGAAGTAGTCTTAGGTCGAGTGAACAATCCGTGCATTATCTATTGTATCGTTACGCCATCATTCGTTTTGCGAACGAGTGCCTCGGGAAAGCCATCCGGACGCCCATAATTTCCATTGCAACAATTGGCATTGGATGTAGCCGAAACGAAAAATCGGGGGTAGGCGGAATACCATTAAAGCCTCTATAATCACAATATTTACGCGATATTATTCCATTCGTAAGCAGTAACGAGGAGAGCACCGCGGCATCGTTGTAAATGGGAATCGCAAAATTTACGAACATTTCCCAGATCGCCCCATGCACGCAACGCAACGCAAGCAAAATGAGCCGAGCGAGAATTATGCAAGCAAAAAAGCAAGAAACTCGTTATTCCCATTCGACCTGGCTGCTGGGAGTTTTTAAAGGTTTTTTTTTCTTATTTTTTTTTTCTTTTTCCCCTCTTTTCTTCCTCTGCATAAGGCGCGTGCATTTGCATGGTTAGCGGTGGATAGAAGGGGGAGTCGGGGCTCTCCGACGCAATCGCAACAATTGCAACGCGAAGGGAGGGAAAAAAATGCGAGCATCCGTAGCTAGACGACTTTCATCAACGTAACCCTTCGCCCCTTCCGTCCTGTGTCCGCTGCTGCCTTGCTTTTACCCCATCCCGCAAACCCTACGCTAACCCGTCGTCAAAAAGTATTCCGAAGGATTTCCCGTGCGAGACGTCGCGTAGCATCGAGACCGTTGCAATTACGCGACCCCGGCCTCTGATAATTACGAGGCAAAGATCCTAAGAACATAATGATGGGAGGCTAACGAGTGCAGCGGAAACCCGCGGAATAATTAATTGGTCTACTTAATTAATGAGCTGGGCTCGATAGGATTTGTTAGGATTGGTGCGGGAATATTTCGGACGCTCGATAATGGCGAAGCAATTTTATTAGTCAGGTGGAATTTAGGATTACCCAGACCTACCGACGTTCGACAATGAAAAAGCGACATCGAGATATCAAAAGGGTCTTGGCGTGTCTGACAGGCAGTAATTTTCATGGCATTTACTCTCGCGTCCCGATGATTATTTTCATCAAGCAGATGGGATCTCGCGGGGCCCTGGTGGTGTGGTGTGATGAGAGAGAGAGAGAGAGAGAGAGAGAGAGAGAGAGAAAGAGCAGTAAAATACGAGATAAATCGTAATGGAGCCGGGGGAAGAGAATGGGGAAGACTCACATTGCACGTCGATCTTGGCGGGCGAGCTCTCGATACTCGCGCCCGTGCGCTCGTGCGTGGCCACGCACACAAAGCTCCCGCTGTCGAGGATCCTGCTGAGCCTAGTGATGTGGAGGTCCCCGTCTTTGACGTGCCTCCTGGGGCTCGGGGCCAAGGGCTGGCCATCGATTTTCCAAGTATAGATGACGGCACCGCTCGGCTCGGCTCGGCACCGCAGTCGCACCGGCAGTCCTTCCACTACCGCATGATCCTCCGGGCTCACCGTGAAGTATAAGTCCCCGAGCTGCTCCTGCGACCTGCAACCTAATCAGGAGAAAAGCTTATTCCATTAGCCGTTGAAAACCGGAACGACTGGCGCGCGCGCCTACCCGCGCTATCGATTAAAAGCCGGTGCGAGCCCCAATAATGAACAATGGGCGAGGGGGAGGGAGGATGGGATGAGAGGGTGGATAGAGGGTGGGACGGAGGGAGGGAGAGAGGGAGGGACTGGCTACTCTACTCGCGCGCACCCGTGCCATGGGTTCTTATTAAAAGCCCCCAAGGGCAGAAAAGACGACGATGGATCCCCTCTCGAGTACAGTGCGCGCAGTCACTTTCTCCTTTCCTCGCTTTTTTCTCTCTCCTTCTTTCTCCTCCCTTCCGTGGCCCTCCTCCGCTCGTCATTACATTACACAAACCCTTGGCCAAGACGGTGCGCTTCCACTGGACCCACGCGCCTTTTCGTCCGACTCTAAATTTCCGTCTGAAAAAATATTTTTGGCCGTTAGCGCGACCACTGTAATTAATAGTCGGTATTCATAATCGCATGAAGCCTTGCCAATCCGAAGGTCTTCTCCTAAGGTAAAGAAAGAGACAAAGCAAAGTCGAAGAGGAAACTCTATCTCCTCGCGATACAGCGAGCGCTCGACGAGTGAGAGGGCGAGGGGGTGGAGTGGCCGAAGTGTGCGCGTGTGTTTGCGTATGTGTGGCGGGGGCGGAGGGGAAGGGGGAGTCGAACGCGTCCTGAATGCAGCGCTTCTTCCTTCCCCTCTAACCCGTCGCCGCTGGTCGTATCGCAGACTCGGCGGCCGCGACGGAAGCAAGTTCGTACTTACCGAGGAAGACGAAGAGGCCGAGTATCAAGTGGAGATGCATCCTCGGCATGATGGCCAGTCGACTCTGATGTGCTCGTTATCCTAGTTGGCGTCGCGAGCCCGGTCGTCCCTACAGCTGCGTCCCGGCGTCCATTCACGGGCTCAGCAACTCCGGTGCAAAGTAACGACAATAAAAGCCGGTGAGCGCGGACGACGTGATGATAAGACGCGCGTCTTGTGGAGGGAGGACTATGGCGACGAGAAACAACGAAGAGCAACGAGGAGCGACGCGAGCCTCACGACTGCTATGTCGCGTTCCTTCGCTTCCTCGTATATAACCAGGCGCCGCTCGGCCAGGGAGCCACACATACGCATAGAAAGAGAGAAAGAGAGAGAGAGAGAGAGAGAGAAAGAGAGAGAGAGAGAGAGAGAACGCAACGGCGCCGGCGCACTCGACAAAGTATACCACTGGATTTAATGGAGCCTCCGTCGGCTCCACGCCCCCCACCACGACTTACCATCCGTCGGTATAAAGAGAAACGCTCGGTCGGAGTAATATACCCTCGACTGGAGCTGACTGCGGAGCCTCGCCGACAGATCGAACCGCGTCCCGATTAAACGTGACGAGAAAGTCGACCTGGAAGTCGACGGCTCGCCGACGCGAGCACCTCCGCCGTTCGGAATTGATATATACCCGGAAAGAGAGAAAAAGGAACGGCACGAAGGGGAACGCGTCCCTGACAGATAAAAATTCAGAAGCGCAGGTATGCTGTGTAGGTGCTGGCTCGAACGCCTCTGTGCTTGTGTTGAGAGTGAGAGGGAGACGGACAACAGCTATTCGGAATATTTTTAGCATCCTCCAAATCTTAATCACGTCACACCTCTGTGGAATACGGTAGCGGCATAACATTATCGCGCTCTGTGGAACCTGGAAGATTATTTTTTTAAGGAGCTATGAAATATTAAATTTTACCTGCGATATTTCAGGATCAGAGTCGCGCACGTTATTGCGCTGCTCCGATATTAATAAAACGTAACCGACAATATATACTCTCGTGGATTTATAAAAATTATTTTTAACGTTTGCAAAGTGAGGCTATTTTTCTCATTAAGAACCAGTTAAGCATAGTTTTTCATCGGTCACTGCAATTCAATTGTTGGCTTATTTATAATATAATTATATAAATCCATGCCTAATATCATCGATCTCCGAATACCATCTCATCGTATTTTTCACCAAATTTTGTCAGCTTCCATCCCACGTACTTTACATTTTATTAGAGGCATTAGATGCGACATTTTGAATTTAAAATTTTAAAAACTTCTTTTCTATTTTTCTACTATATCGCTGTTGTTGTGCAACTTTCATCTATTCTATATTTCCGTTGTGTTAAATGACATTTATCGTCGCATTAAAGTTTCATTGACTAGGCAACGTGAACTTTGGCAAGAAGGCAAGAATGAACCGAATCGAATTTAAATCTAAATGCATATGTGCAACAGCATTTAGCTCCTCCGTCACTATATTTTCATGACATTCAATATTCCAACATTTCAAATTTATGCTAAAATTTAATATTTTTACTCGAAATAATAATTTTGTTATTTATTAAATAATAAGGCTTACAGACCGTTCTCTCATATCTTAATTATTAGTCATTATCAATCAATATGATTTTTTTTTTTTTTTTTTTTTTTTTGGAGTTTCATTATCAATAACAAAAAGTTGCTTCGTTCAACTTATAAAGTGAAATTCAATGTGAAATTTTACTACGCTATATACTTTAAGAGCTATTCATAGTCTATGAATTTATAAATTATAATAAAATTATAAATGTATCTATTAGTTGCCTCATTTACTTATCCGACAATCTTCTGTAAAATACTATCATCAACATTAAAATCATTTCAATATTATATTCATCCTCAGTTTTATCTCCAAATTAAATATTCTATTGACCATAGTGTTGCGGTTTTGCGGTATAATGTCATCACAATTACAATTGATTACTTAATGTAGAATATATGAAATTTAATTGAATGTATCCTGTATTTAAGCAAAATCGCCGAAACACGAGAGCTTTAAATTTAAAGCTATTGCGGAAAATAAAAATGTATTCTTTAAGTGTTAGCATATAATTTTCTGCATATTTCATATATGTATGTACAAATAAGTATCTACAATTATTATTGTTACCATTTGTATAAACTTTCATCGTTGATATTAACAAATCCCGGAGTAATGATGATGGTCTTATTTAATTATACATAAAATTATACGTAACGATCATACACAAAACAACCGCAAAACATCGATACACATATTTACTTTAATTTATTTTTCCAACTGTAATAAAAAAAAATCAATTGAAATTTATAATGACAATATGGAAATTGAATGAATTTCGATCGGTTTATTTCATACTGCAGATCTCATTTAAAAGCAATGACTACTTTTAGCGGCCTTTTTGATGAAAAGATTTTTAGAAACATTAATTAGAAACTTGAAATAGACAATTCCAGCATATTTGAAATATTGTAATATTGAAAATGTTTTTAAATTACCAATTATTCAATATTATGAATCCATTGCTGCTTCTATTTAATTTACAAAAATTTTATTATCTGTATATGTCTAAAATACAGCATATAAAGGCAATTAAAAATTTCTTAATTTAATTATTGTCATACACTCGTAAGCTTATTAAAACATTTTAAATAAATGTAAATTACATCAATAAATAATTTTACGCGGATTTGTTTTATTAGGCTTATCGACAAATTATTGTTATACATTTCGATTATTCAGCGTTTCAATGTAATTATACATTGAATTTCTTTTAATATTTCAAAAACATTGTAACTACATTTCGTCAGACGTAAAATTTATATCGATATAATAATTCTAAAATAATAATATAATTAAAGATGCAAAGGTCTCTAACTGCACACATTTTACAATTTTGAACTTATTGATATTCAATTCTAAATACTTTTAAACAATGTGAAAAATATTAAATTAATAAAATTATGCAAGATCATTTCATATAAATCGATAGAAATATTTTTCATATTATAGCCATTGTTACGAAAAAAAAATATTTCCAAAGAACAAACAATTTTCATCGTAAATTGAATCAACATCTTTCTTCGTTATAGTAAGTAATTAGAGATATTAATACAAATATCTTTCTCCATTACGAAAACTCTATAATTTTATTTGAACATAAAATGTTACAATAATAATTATATTCATAATTATAATATACATAGGCTGCAAATACTATTATTACAAATTTTATATTATTATTAATTATGTAAAACGATATACACAATATTATAAACAAATATTACTGTTAAGCGCTTTGAAAAAGTAATCATACTCATAAATGCAACTTTTTCAATACATTTTCTTTGTTGGATTAAAGTTTAAAATTTTTCAAATTAAAGATCAAATATCTATTAACATTTTAATTATTCTATGAAGAAAAAGATTATCTATTAAAATTATATATATTAAATATTTTATGAAATTCAGAAAAGTTTGGAAGAAACTGCAGTATAAAATAATATATCATCAATATGACTATTCTTGCCTGGAGTAGCTGCCGCCATTTTGTAATACCTACCTCTGAATGTATCCCTAGCTTTTTTATTTTTGCCATTACGTATTGAACTATGTAATTACAAGATAGACAGACATAATAGAAAAAAAAATTGAAAAAGCTATTTGTAATAATAGTTCAACTTTTCTTTGAATGTATAGATAATGGACTATTGTTTACAACTGAATAAAGCTTTTAATCTCCGAACTCAAATATTTATCGAAGTGTTTATTATATCGACTTGACGATTCGTGATAATTTTAAACATTCATCATTGTAATAAATAATAATTGGAAAAATATGTGATACTTTGAAAAAATATTAAACAATTTAATTATAACAATATTAAATTATTTTATTTATTATCTTTTATTTTTCAACAATTAATTTCAAACGTTATATAGATATTAATATTCATAATTTTAACAATTAATCTAAAATAAATTCTTCTGTATTAAAACCGCAAGCGTATATTTATTAAGTAAATTTAGTAAAATATTCAGTCTAAAATATTAAATTAAATGTAAAATGTTTAAGAAAACAAAACAAAATAAAAATCAAACACTACTAATAATGAATCATTATTTTTCTTTATGAAAAAGATGTATATCAAAATGATTAATTTGGAGAAATGTAATTTTCGTATAAAGTGACAACATAATAAGTATAAAATGTGTGAATAATTACCGAAAATGTATTTTTCAAATTTCATCCAAAGGATATGAAAAATCTTACACATACTTTGAGAAATGAAATCTATAAAAAAAAATCTCTTAATTTACATAAGCATGTTTTTCATAGCATTATCAATTCATTGATATGTTATTTTTGGCTTCTTAAATGATGAATTGCTTATTTTGTATCATAACGAATAATATAATGACGTTTCAAAAAAAAGGAATACTTAACACGAGAATTATTATTATTATATACTTCTTTAACCATCTAATTTATTATAATCTGCTAAGCTGATGGTGTTGTGTAACAAAGTGTCAATTATAAAATAAGAATTCGGAAGTAGTATTATTTAAATTCATATCGGAAGTATTATTGACGTTTTGCATAACATTATCGAAATATTAAATTATAAATAACTAATTAAATATTATAACTATGAGTAATTGATTCTTAGCAATCACAAAAGGCTTTATAATCTCAAATGGTGAGCAGATTTTTCAGAAAATAAAGTGGACTCGATAAAAAATCAAATTATACGTAATAAAAGTAATTCTCAGCCTATTATGTTGTGTTATAAAAAAAAAAATTTTTAAGATAAATTTCGCAAGAGACAATAATATTAATCAAAGCATGAGATTTAAAGCAAATATAACAAGGAATTCTTAATAACAGTGGCAATTTAACTTTAAAATCAACGAATAATTATTTTAATTTATTACACCTTTTTTTTATCTTATTTAAATTATTTTACCTTTTGTACGTGTGTGTGTGTGGGTCCGAAAATTTTGCTATGTTTGCTTTGGGCTATTAGTATGTGTAAGACAATTAAACGAACAATACTCCGGTAAATCTCGTTTTATAATATTTACAATACAATATGAAATGTTAAGTTAATTGTATCATACATCGGGGTATGCAGTTTTCAAAATTGATCCAAGATAATTAAGAATATATAAACCGACGAATACATGTAAATAAATATTTTTTGTAACCACAAATCCGATATTATCACGAGAGAATTCCCCGTCATATGACTCAAGCATCTCTATCGTATCATATGAATGATCAATAAATGATTGTCTCTGTCGTTATATTATGTCATTACAGTAAACAAGTTTTGATTGGTATTAGAAAAGTTCGATAATAGAGATTTAATTAATAGATTCTAATTAATTTTAACATCTCGTATAAAATCTCAGCATCTCTTAATATATTACATTTATAGTTTTTGTAAATCGTACGTGTATTTAAAAAATTTTATTTTAGCACGATACAATGAATTTGCCGAAAGTGTTAATGTAATCCTCTACATAATTTTTAATAATTTTTGATCCGATAATGCATAAGTTCGAATTAATTAAACGAAACAAATCTGCCAACGTCTGAAATATTAAAAGTACAATATAAGCAATATTAAATTTTGAAATAAAGTTTTCAGATGTTTTAATTATATTGTAAAGCGAAAACGCCGAAAGCATTGGTAAAAAAAAGAAAGAAGAAGTAGAATAATGAGTTTCAAAAAGATTAAAATGGAGCAACATCGTTGAGAGAAAAGGATAACTATATAAGTAGATCGATGGATAGTTAAATGGGCAAATAGTTAAATGGAATAATAGTTTGATGGTTGGACGAATGGTTGCATGGATTAATGGATGGATGAATAGATAGGTTGGTTGGTAGGTAGATTGGTAGATAGATAGATAAATAGATAGATAGATGGACGAATGGATAGACAGATGGATGAATAGATAGGTAAAGAAAGGAGAAATATGAGAGTAGAGAGATAGAGATATGGAGAGATGGAGAGATAGAGAGATAGAGAGACGGATAGATAGAGGGAGAGAATAAGATAGAGAGAGAGAGAGAGAGAGAGAGAGTGTGTGTGTGTGGGTGTGTGGGTGTGGGTGGGTGGGTGTGCGCGCGTGTGCGCGTGTGCGCGTGCGTGTGAGATAATAGAGGAGTAGGAGGGGGGCAAAGAGTTCGATTGATCGTCAAGTCAGTTTGATGAAAACCGCAACCGAACCAGTTGATCATACGCCCCGTTGCTGCTAGTTTAGTTGCCGAGGACCCAAGGGGCACGATGAGGCAAAATTTTAATCAAAGTAATGACCAGGGCATGTGATCGATTTGGCCACAGCAGATTTTTAAGAGAAGCGAGTGTTTAGTAGCGGTGAGAGCTTTAATTATCATCGATTCAGCCAGCCATGGCTGAATAGAGTATTAATAGATCGCTGGAAGGGTTTATTGGGTTACGTAATTTATTTACAGAATAACTTTTTCACAGATCAATTAATATTCCATATGTTTATTATGACACGTAATTCAATTTAGTTTGCTGTTCCATATCATTAGATAATGTTATTGATATTTTTTCCTTTTATTAACAATCTAAACAGTCACGTACTTACATGCCTAGTTTCTTATACTGATATCATTGTATGTATATGTATATGTATATTTATATATAATCACTTTCTCTCCTTTATATATGCACATAGTTCAAGTTATTTTCCTTTCTTTCTTTGCAAAGCGCTCGGGCGTGTACGCATGACGCACTCGCCCGCACACACTCATGTCCGCCTTCCCTGCTTTCTTTCATTCTTCTTCTTCTCGCTCGCTCTTTATCTCTCCGCGCCAATACTTTGTTTTCCTAGCACTTGTCGGAACTCTGGGGACAAACGAGGCTCCTCCAAAGTGCGGCGGGCCGAGTGTGCCTGGATGTGTATTCGCACGTGCATGAGCGCGCGCGCGTCTGTCCGCCTGTCTGTTTGCATACGAACGAGTGCGAAGGCGCGTGTGTTGGCTCGCCCTATGTGTACGTGTGACCCAGATCGACCGAAACTCGAGGCTCCCATTCGGCGCTTTTCTTTTATCGCGTCGCGGCATGCTCAACCTTGCATGACGCAACGTTCGATCGATTATTTCGCGCCCAACGATATGCATAATTTTTCGCAAAGTCCACTGGCACGAGAGGGACGCACTATTCGAAGCTGGTCATTTTGGCGATTATGGATTGCCGAACGTTTATTGATATGTTAATCGAGTGATGGTTGCTATTGAGCAGAGGGGGTAGGTAGTGAGTTGAGACTTTCGAGTCCTCGGTAAGCGACGACGAAGACGACGACGATGACGACGACGACACTACGACGGCGACTACAACGACGACTACGACGACGACGACGTCGACGACGATAACCACGACAACGACGACAACGATGACACCGCGACAACGACGACGACGACGACGACGGCGACGACGACGACGACGACGACGAAAGCTATTCGTACTAGTATGTACAAATTGTCATTCGATGTTCTTCCTTTTAGTGTGATATACGTAGCGACCAAATGTATGTACACGTAATAAAGACGCTCTCAGCTTAAATCCTATATCATTACATTACGATGCATATCATATACTATTTACACGATCCTTCTTAATATGTGACAGGCCGCGAATAACGGAGAGATAATCGTCGCGTCGGAAGCTGGAGCTGTTTGTTATATCGGCCCGCCCTTGTGCAGGCTGACCAAGGCAACGTAACTCGCGGGGAAGGTGGAGACGGTCGTGCGCGTGATATGACTAGTCGCGTATCAGCTGCTGCTGCTGCTGCTGCTGCTGCTGCTGCTGCTGCTGCTGCTGCTGCTGCTGCTGTTTCTCGATATATTGCAAGAGGGAACGGAGGCTCACTTCCGTTCGCCCCAGCCGGCGCTGTTGTAGAACCACGAGGAGGCGCTCTCGTCCCTCGTCCTCGGCCAAGCGTTGTCCAGGCCGTTTGCCCCGCCGCTCTCCTGCAAAACAAAATCACAGGAGATTGAAGGCAGGTCGAGGCAGGGAGCGTCGATGCTCGCTCGCTCCCATTACTACGTAGGTCGGCGCGAGCGAGAGGCGCTAGCTAAATTGCTACTCGGGGACAATGGAGAACGTCGTAGATAAGAAACGGAGATAATACGTAAGGATGAGCTCGAGACAGAGGCGTCCCACTCTCTCGAGCATCTCGGAGCTCGTGCCACTTACCGTCGGATACTGAGCTTTCGACTCATATTTACTCTCACCACGACGTTTTTGCGAAACGCGTGAAAAGGAGCGACGGCCAATGGTCGGTTAATGTACCGTCAGCCAAACTGGATTAAAGATTTATTCCATTCCATTAATTTAATGCGCATACTTATTGATTTACATTCCGTGGCAAAATAAACACGAGAGAAAAACATATGATAAAAATGAAACTCGCAATTATTCAAATAAAACAAAACTGCGTATTGGAAGGAAGAACGCGCACTGTCTGTGTCAATGCCAAGGCGATAGTAGGAGTATCCGCGTGCAATGCTCATTTTTACAAATCTAACGATTAGGCGATAATGTCCTTGCGCATATTCAAGGGCGCTCGGACTATTATTACTATTATTATTGTTATTGTTGTTGTTGTTGTTGTTGTTGTTGTTGTTGTTGTTGTTGCTGCTGATATTGTTGCTATTGTAGCTATTGTTGTTATTCTTATTATATGATTGACGTTGTTGTTATTTCATGTTGGTTAAAGGCGGTGCGGGAAACACGGGACGATGAAGGCGTTTACCCGAGTCGAATTACACGCGTGAAAATGACGTTAGGCGCGAGGCGAAGGCGCGTGCATAATTCGCGTCGGATTTGGCGAAGAGAGTCAACGTGACGCGTTAGCTGCGTAGTAGTAGGAAGCCCTAATGACGAGAGGTAAAAAACGAGGGCTAACGCGAGTTGGCACGTGAGAAGGAGAGATTGTTTGCTTAAAAGTGCAACGAGGACGAGTTGGCGCGTGGGAGGTGCCGACGGGTAAAGATTCGGAAGCACTAGTCGGGGGAGGGGGGGACGCTTTGCGATTATGCAAATGCAGCGGAGACTCGCTCGCTGAGGTGCAAACCAAGGCACTGACCACGACGTTGAGCTGGTGACTCGTGGGCGAAAGGTAGTCCATGTTGCTGTAATAGGACGTGTAGTTCTGATAGCACTGCTGCTGGCTGCTGGTTGTCGCCCAGGCGGCGAGTCTCTGGTGCTCGCCGGGGAACCCGGGCCCGTTGGCGCCGCTCTCCGTCACCGCCGGGCTCCAGATGCTGCTACTGCTGCCACCACTGCTGTACACCGTACCCCCCAGCTGCTTAATACATGAAAAAAAAGAGCAGAAAGCGGACCGCGTCTAATTTGGATCGAGCTCGTATGCCACCCTTCCACCCTTCCACCCCCCCCCCCCCCCCCCCCCCCCCCCCCATCCCCCTCTACCTCCACCGGTCGACCGTTCACACACTCGTGCGCTCTCTCATTCGCCCGCTCTCTGTTTACTCTGAACACCTATTTCAATGCGCGCACTGATGAGAATATATTACACTGGTAAAGGGCCGCCCTCTATGCGCTTTTGTAAGCGCGTTGCCCTTTGCTTGGACCCCTTGTGTACACAAGGAAGTGAGAAATCGAGTTCGGAAAGAATTCATGCGTCTTGTGGTTGTTTAGGAAATTTAGGGATAATGCGTGCGATATCGCGCCTTCTTTAACGCGTCCACGGATATTTGAAATTGAATATTGCGTGACTAGGCGCGAGTGAGTGAGAAAATACGAGAAAATATAATTTCAACACGACTTACCTCCCCACCTCTTTGTTCAAGCGAATAGCGCATAGCGAATAACGAATAGCTAATAGCGAATAGCGATTAGCGATTAGGGAATAGTGAATAGCTAAATGACGAAGCGAATTTGACGAAGTCATTATTGGCTATATATTGGCAAGGCGTAAGTACGTGTGGCGACATTCGCCACGTAAATTCAATATAAATTCATATTTCGGCAAAAATGACGGCTTCGAGAATTATCGATCTCTCCGGCCCGTCCCTCGACTTTCGTAGATCTCGAATTTGCATAAAATCGCAATTTTAACTGTACCGGGAGTTTTAGAGCTCCTAAAGTCGTGCGCGCGTCAGCCTCTCTTGCGTAATAAAGTAGCGAGATACTTAAGATACGAAATATAATTTTCGACTGAGATTTATGGCTTTTAGATGAGGCAAAAGTGTTGCAATAAAGCAGAAAAATTCCATTGCTCGTAGTCGGCTGCGTTACAACAAAGTTTGTGACCCGCGTGCCCGCGGCATTCATAAAGGCCACGGGACGGAGGGAAAATTTGGCCGCGCCGCGCCGGAAAAGCCGCCGCCGAGCTAGGAAGGAGCTTGAAAGGGAAGAAAGAGAGCGAGAGGAGATGAAAGCCGTAAGGTATATAAACGGCTCGTTGGCACAATGGGAGGAGGTCGAGGGTGCCGTCAGAGGGCTCGTGATCGATGAATAACGAGGGCCTCGATTGCGACAATATTTGCCGTCTCTGCGTTTTTTTTCTCTTTTTTTTTCCTTTTTTTTTCTTTTTTCTTTTTTTTTTTTTTTTTTTTTTTTTTTTTTTTTTTTTTTTTCCTGCGACAATTTCACGTCCACGCTCGAATAGCCGTACACGCGTAAAAAGATACATTAGATTACTTACGCTGGGCGGCGTCGTACTGGCGGTGAGCAATAGGCTGCTGGTCGCACTGCCCGTAGTCGGCTTGTATTGGGGCGAGTCCCGTAGAAGAGCCGGGGAACTGGCCGCGGAACCGGCCGTACCTCCGCTTCTGTAACATTCGTAAGAACGTATTGGCAAGTCTGTGGATGCACGTGTGTGAGTGATTGCGCAAAAGCCGAGCACCGATCGCTCGGTGCACAATGCAATTACGCGCGTTAGTCCCCCGCTCGAACGGCGTCGCTGTTTTTTCACAAAACAGACGCACCACTATCGGGGCGAGCTTGTTTTTCTTGACCCGGGAGGCCGAGATTGGCTTATTGCGTGTGACCTTGACTTGAGGTGACGCTCCAAATGTGGCAAGCGAACGTTCGGATGGGAGGTCCTGGCGGGAGCGAGGAAGAATCTCTGGTATGTCCTTTTTCAATGAGCGGGCGAATCATTGACGGTTGAATTATGGTAATCGGCGAGAAGCGACTGATGGGCGACTTTACATTTTTATGGCTAACCGACATGATTTACTCTAATAATAATAGAACATAAACAACCAACTTTAACTCCCGTTTAATATTTTTAATGAGATAACGCTGACTGGGTAAGTTAGAATGGCAGAGCCTTTTATTTCTTTTCTATTTTCCGTCTCTCACATACACGAGCACACACTCGCGCTGTCGCGCTCTCACTCGCTCTCACTCGCTCGCTCGTTCTATTTCTTTCCTTCTTTCATTCTTTCCTTCTTTCATTCTTTCCTTCTTTCTTTCTTTCTTTCTTTCTTTCTTTCTTTCTGTCTTTCTTTCTTTCTTTCTTTCTCTCTTTCTTTCTTTCTTTCTTTCTTCCCTTCTTTCTTCCCTTCTGCCCTTCTATCTTTCTTTCTTTCTTTCTTTCTTTCTTTCATCCTTTCATTCTTTCATTCTTTCTTTCATTCTTTTTCCATCATCTTCGTGCCCCGACATTTCTCGATAGAACTGAAAGTGAACAGACGCGAGGCGGTCTGACAGATTCATGACACATTCCAATCCCGAAATTTCAAAAAAATATAAAACTTTTATAACTCTTATACCTCATTAAGATATGAATATTCATTTTCCAGTGACACCAAGGCCACCGATGGAATTTCAATGAACCGGTGAATCATTTCCTTCGATTAGGATGTCAAAGTGAATTTTTAAGAATCGCTTAAATAAAAATGATTTTTTATCCTCAAATTATAACGAGAAATAGGTACGATATTGGGATCGTTTTTATCCCCGTAACTAATTGTTTAATTTCAAATTCAATTAATATGGCATGTTCGTGTAACATTTTAAAGATTCGATATAACTGTTTTTACCGTAAAAATACATTTATATATAATTTTTGTAAAGCGTGTTTTAAATTTAGACTCTAATAAAAAAATAATGTTATAAATTCTACCTTCTCATTCGCATACGATATGAATATAATATTTGCCGACTGTAGCCCGAATATTCAAATGGACCGAATCCTTACATCGAATACCATGCAGAAAATTTCCGCATGAAGTCAAAAATGAGAAGACGGTATATCGATAATAAACTTGGCTATGATAAAAAAATTTACTTATTAAAATCTCATATTTCACATTTAAAAGGTTATATATATATATATATATATATATATATATATATATATATATACATATACAAATGTGTATATATTTTTAAGTAGTGAGGTATAGTTACATATACCGAGACTGTATTATATTTTCGTCAAATTAAGATGTCATACGAGTGCAACACGTGCATAATAAAAATAGTACAGAACGATCGAACGCAGGTATAAGTTTGATTGCCCATGAGTTCCGAACCAAGTTAAATCTGGTACGAGACAATGACAGTGATTCAGGCAGAAGCGGACCACTGGTTCGCTTAATACTTAGAGAAACTATTCCGATAACTTATTAAATGTCACACTAGACTTGTATCGAATTTGACAAAATATGTCTCGTGTTAGACTCGACGTGGAGGAGCCTAATTCCACAATAATATTTATGATGTCTAATAAATTTATATTATTGTTAAGAGTCCGAAGATCGAGTAAGGCAATCTGGCAATCTTGCTAACGAAATATACTTATTTTGAAAAATAAATTAAGATTAGTACTCTACACATATAATTAGTGTTTTAATATTTATCATTTTATTATTGTATCATCGGCTAAGAAAATCTGAGTGAGATTTTATTATCAAATTTTATTAATTTTGAATGTGCAGAATTTTAAAGTGTTTTAGAAAAGTTTTTTTTTTCTTCTACGACTAGTGGTGAAATGCATTGGCACTTGTAAAATAATAGATAGATTATTTTATACGGATTGAATTATGATGCATGAAGTGTACAATGACCTAGTAAGTTATTAAAATAAAATATTAATCGAATATTCAGACTAACGGAATAACCGATTAACGGCATAGTTTCAAAAATAGTTGTAGCTAATCGCTAATTGAATTTTATGAAGTGAAAATTAAATGATCGATGAATCATTCGATATTAATAATATTGAATCGCGTATTAACCATGTATATAATTAATCGTAAAGTAGTTGAATGTAATAATAATTTAAAATACAAATGATTGGAAAACGTGTTTTGTGTTTAAATATGGAAATTGTAATGAAATGGAATTAATGGTAGGTAAGGAAATAGCGAGAATAAGATAGGAAGAGGAAAAAAAAACATTTACTCACTGACAGGTTTAAATTAGATTATAAAGATGCTAATCTATAAAAAAAGTTTGTAATAAAATCTTGGGAGAGGTGAACGAATACATTACAAAGTAAATAACAGAAACGAAATAAGACATGAAAATAAAAAACACACTCGTTAAACTTAAAAACTCGACCTTTGTAACGCAAACGAACATCAAGTCTTATAAACAAACAATATTTGTTATTGTACATTGTTTAAGTAAAATAAAAAAATCTTCACGGTATATAGAGTCACTAGTAAGTTTAAGTATTTTTATAGGAAAAGCGGAGAATATGGCAAATTTATAATTACAAGTCGGATGAACTTTTACGCTTTAGTCGAGGAGAGAGTAATGAAATCGGAAGAAGGATTATAAATGTTGGAGCATGTATAGACGATACAATGGGAAATAAAAGAATAGAGTATAGGATATTAGGACGAAAAGTGAAAAGTAAGACGCTCTTGGGTGGACCAGGACGAAAACGAGAAGGAAAGATGAAATAAGACTTGTTGTGAAATCATGGATCGACAGACAAAGTGTTTTGTAATTTTAATCGTCGAGAGTAGCTTAATAATAATAATATGTATAGCAATAATAGGTAATGATAATAAATATTAATAATACTTATGATGACGATGATAATGATGATAACGACGATAATTATCGTAATATTGATAATAATGATAGGAATAGGAGTGGTAAAACAGTAATACATGATAATGATAATAATAAATAATGGATCATAGTAATGAGAGGAATAATAGGGATAGAAAGAATAAGATATTATTAATAAATATGATGTGTATGGGCCGATCAGTCTATAAAATTTGTGAGAAAATTCCATTGAATCGGAATGGAAGATCCAAAAGCGCCGAATTTCATGAAAATACATTGCGCTAATAGGTCGCATATCGCACTTTGGTGGCGCTTTTGAACAATGACGAGTCGGGAAAATGAGCCGAGGAAACATGAGCGTAGAGTTGTAGGGCAATAAAAATGAAAAATCGAGGACGGCTAGATGCCTGTCCCCGTAGCTATACTCAGGACTTACAGTGGCGTGGCGGCAGGTACGGCGGCAGCCGTCGCCGCGGCGGTCGGCGTCGTCGCTATCGAGGGGCTCTTCCCCGGCGGTGGATTGCCACTGACCGCGGGACTGCTCGCGCTCAGCTTCTTCGTCCTTGGCGACTTGTCCTGCTGTTGTTGTTGCTGCTGCTGCTGCTGTTTCTGCTGCTGGCGGCACTTGGCCCGTCGATTCTTGAACCAGACCTGCGGAAGGCGCGAGTCGCATCGATTCTTCGATTTGGCGCGCGACAACTCCCCAGAAAACCACCCCGGGGAAGCCCCGCGCGATCGATGCCAGCCGCCGGCATCGGGGGCTTGGGTTTCTCGAAGGATTTCTCGCCGCGGCACACGATACCCGCGTTCTTTCACTCGGATTTCTCGTGTTTCAGGCGGCGAGGCGGAGGGCCGAGCGTGCATATACGTACGTGCATGCGTGCGCGCGTGTGCGCGCAGCGCTGCATTTATTGCCAGGCGGGACGTGCGCCGAACTATGGAGGTCCCGAGCGTCCAGGTGCGTCGCTTATGAGCCCGGGATATGCCCGAGCACGAGCTGACTTCCCGACTCGGTGGGGGAATGTGCTGGGAGGAACGGCGTCGGGCTCCGGAAGACGCGACTTAACAATGTCACGCCGATTCCCCGAAGCCGAAATTCCCCGGGCGTTCGCGAGCGGTTTTTTTTCTTCTTCTTTATTTTCTTTACTTAATGTCGCGGCGAGGGACATCGGCGCCGCACTTTCTTCTCTCGGCATTATGGGCTAAGCGGGAGGGACGAGTTGGCGAGACGCAGTTTTTCCCGGGCCCGAAGATTCCGCGATCGTGCTCGAATTACAATGACAATGGCGCGCAGAATGTGTCAACGTGTCCTGGCCCCGTAATAATGACGGGAGGGAAGCCGAGCGGCGAGAGGCGCGTGAGTCAACGGCGATCGATCCCGTTAAAGCCTATTAGGCCGGGCGATCGTAAACTTTTTCCAAAATCATCCAGTCGCATTAATGCGAGACATTGACGTAGAAATCGTAGCGCATCAGACGGGGAGGGAATGAGAGCAGCGCTTATTTACATTAGGCGTTTCGCATCGAATTTGCATTCGTCAGGTCGGCATCAGGGGCATCGATCCTCCTTGGTCAGAGCCATTGATAAAATACACGTGTATCTGATTTTCCTTTTAAACTATCAAAAATCCTCGGGACCCTTAACCCTCGTCGTAATACGTCCACTTTGAAGGGAGACGTTTCTCGTCTCTAAAAGCAAGGAGCCACGAAAGAAAAAGAAAAAAACAACACTCTAAATTCCAGTGGAACGAAAAAGAAGGGATTTGTGACTCTAAGAGTGTCAAAATACAACCACCGCCTGATAAGATCAGTCGTATCTCGCTCTCAGCGGACTCTGAAAAGTCATTGCCTTGGCATTCATTTTGTATACCGTTTTGCTCAAGCCATTGGGTGCAGCGAATATTAATCCAAAGAATTAAATTAAATTAGCGCCCGTCCGAATATTAGCCGATACTTGGCTTTCATCTGCCTTCGTCCTTGCCGAAAAGCCGAGGCGAACGTTAAAGAAATTGCAAATTGTCGGACATTGTCGAGCTCTCGCCGCGGAGGAGAGACAACGGAGAAAGGAGGCTACGCAACACGACGGCCGCTCATTTTTCCGAGCCATTACACGAACGAGCCCTCGTAGGCGCGCCAACGGATTAGATTAGATTTTGCCGAAGGACGAGCCTTGACGAGCCTCGACGAGCCGCGACTGCGTAAAAGTGCTGCGCGAGACCCCGAAGGACGTCCGGGCCCCTTAATAGGCTCTTTTCCCTTTTGCGCGTGTAGCCGACTCGGGACAGAGATTCGTCGGTGAAACACGAGGCTCGACGCAAAAAAGCGAACGAGCCCCGGTAACGCGAGGCTGCAAAAGCTCGGCGCGAAGTCATCGAGCGTAGGGTGCGAGCGTCGGGGCAATTAGGGGCTCTCGGCGCTCTGGAATGTCGTGGCGGATCGTTTTTCCCGGAGGCCGTGGCTCGTCGCGGCGGGGCCGGGGCGCGCTAATTCGGTTAAGGCGGCCGTGGGGAAGGCGAGAGCGAGATGCGGGGCCGATAGGCCGGCCAAGGGGTCGATGACGCGGAATCGATGCCCGTAGCCGTAGCCGTCGCCGTCCGAGCCAGACCGCGTGCCTGCGCTCTTCCCGCCCGTTGTCTACGGCCTGTCCCTCGAGACTCCGCTCCTTAGTCCCCGGTTAAATCTAAATCCAAATCCCCCTTGTTATTTGCTCAAGATTTTATCGCTCGCGTTCCTCTTCTCGCTTCCTCCTCCCTCCGTCTCTACTCCTCCCGCACCCCTTCGCCATCACCCCTGCCGAAGCGGCCAACCCCCGGACTGCTGCTTCGTGACCACGCCCCCGCCGACGACGCTGTCACCGAGCCTGCCGATATTCTTGCCGATGCTGCTGTCGTTTGCAACGCAGCTCTTCGCCGCCTCGTTTTCTGACCCCCC